TGTTGGTACCTCAAGCACACGGTTTGTGTGTGGGGTGGTATGGGTGAGAAAGCGAGATGGACCGACTCCTCAAGCAGGCTTTGGGCAAAGTCACACGAAGTCTCTTCCTCCAGGCTAAGCCGACCGATTAGAAGTGTGCATTGGAAAAGACCCAGAAAAGTTCCACAAGTAACCTAAGATGGTTGAGAAACCAACCTACTTGCATTATGCATCACGGGTAGCGAGGAAGCCAGCTTCAATGAAAACTTGTAAGAACACAACTGCTATCCCAAAGAGCCTAAAGACAGCAGTCACTTTCCAGATTTGTTTCACACCTAAATGGAAGTGGAGGAAGGGTCCATTTGCTGACGATGTGTAGTGGAGATTAAATAACGAAACAAGAAAATTCTTCACTGAAATGACATTCACTAAGACAATGATCAGCACAATCCACAACGTGTGATCCTGTTCCAACGCGATGCCGTCGACTCATCGGTAAATGCTCTGTTGCAGGTCGATGTGTCTCCAGAAGGAGAGGGAAAGTCTGCCACATGCTCTAACCCTAGTCGCAAACCCTGACCCTGACACCAGCTTGAACTCGAGCCCTAGCCTTCGGCGTGAGTCCAGACCTAGTCGCGGTCCACCCACCTTCGTTCCGACGTGTCACATTTACTGCTCAACTGGCCAGACTGCTTCGTGTGTGATCGACAAGTGCGAATGGGAGGTGGTGGAGTAGTGCCACCTGGGTGGATGCGAAGAATGGTGTGAAGTGTTGGCTCACTCCAAGCATCGGCAGCTGCTCAACTTCTCACGCATCAGGTTTGCGGTGCATGGCATGCAGCAGGTGACGTGCGGTATGACGTCTTGCATTGCGTTGTGTTGTACCATCTCAACATGCCATATAAGGAAGGAGGAAGGAGAAAAAGAAGGTTAGTGGAAAGAAACATCATTGTAATGATTGACCTACTTAAATCGGTTGATTTGGCTGTTGCTAGGACAGAGGAAGGAGAAGGAGAAGGAGAAGAAGGGGAAGGAGAAGGAGAAGGAGAGGAGGAGGAGAAGGAGGGAAGTAATGCTGTCAGCCATGGAATTAAACTGAGGTGTGTGGGGTGGGTAGATGACACTCGCAATTGCTGATTGGTCCTATTCAGGAGCACAGTCACTCTACTCGCACACAAACACGCACGCGAACACGCACACACAAAGCATGAATGGCCTTGCGGTGCTGACGTGGTGCACGCCTTTGAGGTGGCTCGTCGTGGGTGGTGCTCAAATCAGCTGCCAAGAAGTGACGACTTGATATGGCTGTTAGATTAGCGAAAGTTGTAGCCAGTGCTAGCAAAGCCGTTTTGCATCATGAGTCAGTCGCACAGTCAACGAGGCAGTCAGCCAGCCAGTCTTTCTGTTTGGCTGTCTGTCGGTCGTCAGGCGATGAAATGTGACGTGCAAGGAGTGTTTGTGGCATTTTCGTGGAGGGAGTGAAAAGTAGACTGAGCATGTTGGCATCTCGATGTCACCACTTGGCAGTGCAATGTGCAGGGGCGCCTGCATTTGGCACCCGCACGCACAGCTCCACCCACTTCGGCCTTCCTCCTCCACCCGACACAACCACAAACCAATCACACTGTCTGTCATGGCTTGCCTGAAACCCCACTGATGTCTGTTCTTGGCACGTTAGTTGGAGATCAAGGAACCAACAGCGATGGCCAGTTAATTGTTCAACCTTTTCGAGGAAGACGAGTCTTCCCGCTTGTCCCGTCTACGTACTTGGGTGATCCCCTACCTAGATGTCAAGTGACGTTTAATTGAAACCATTTCTGGATGGTGCCTCTTGCGACTGCATTACTCACCCACCTTACCGACGAAGAAGAAGCTTTTGGCTGATTGCAACTGAGTTTGATTGGGTTTGCAAGAATGCCTCAATTCTAACTGACATTTCATGGAATTAAGGTGTGTTCAGTCCGTGTTGTATGCAGAAGGCAGCACGGTGTGCTGTAGCATTCAAGTGATAAACTGACACACATGTACACGTCTTAGGTATCTATGCCATTAGTCATGTCTCGCTTTCCCTTAGTATTCACAAGTAGCCACTGGAACAAACAATGTTCAAAACCGCACAAATTTTACTTGACAGCATTCTAATCGAAGTGGCATTTCCATGCCTAACTGACGGAATATCTTCATGAAACGGTGCTCCCCAATCTAGCTAAACTAGACCTGTTTGGTAGCCTGTCATGAAATCCAGGCTTGGCAGGGAGAAAGGTCATCCAAGTTCACCCCTATTTCTCAAAAAAGGATCTTTTTGGTTTAACAATTAATGTCCACACTAGGAGCCAAAGCTGTCACAGCTCGACCGACTCGTACATAATTCTATTCCCAAAATTTACTATCCATCGGAATAGAAGAAATTAAAAGGAGTGCGGAGCCCCCTATGACTGCCCACCAGTTCACTATAATGTCTTCACTCGCATGTTTTTAGACTCAAGGAGAACTTTTTTTAATGGTAGGGAGCAAAATCGCAAAGGCTTCCAGTTTTACAAATCCAAATGGCCCAATAATGGCAGAAACTTCCTTTTTCTCGACCGTGGTTAATTCCTTGCCTATAATCAATGCGTGGGAGGTGAGAAACAGGATCCAAGCACAAATATGCAATAACCAATTTGTGTCTGCCACAGCTCGAACTAACATTGTGCTCAGCACAGCGCAACTCTAAACAGACCTGCACATGGGTTCGCATGATGTGCAAAGCGGAGTGTTTGGGACTTCCATTGAATAAAGAGTGATCCATGAGAAGAGCACTAAATTCAGCCAAAGCTTTTCAAAACGTGAACTCCTAGAGTAAAACTTATTCGTTTCACTCAAACAGAATCAAATTCAGCCCCATCCAAAAGATAACACAAAGTAAACCACAGCAGCATGTAAAAACTCACTCTGGAGCTATAAACGATTGTCATCTTTCAGCCAAACATACAAACTCTCACACTTTACACAAGACCATAGTTCTTTAGCAAAAGGATAACCAGATACTTATCCCCCGGTTCCACGCGTTTCTCTTGCAAACACGATGCTCCTCCTTCTACCAACAAAGAGACTGCGAACTCTCCTGGAGGGAGAACATGCAGCACTCCAGAGGGTTCACTGTCCATTCTGTGCTGATCCTCAACGCCTTGCTGCTGTTGTTGATGTTCTTGATCATTACCCATTAGTACCACACCAGCTGCCTCTTTGCTCGCCAGGTAGTTGATAAGATCTCGTAGCGGACGGTTGTGATTTTCAGCACCTGCAGCTGGAACCGTCTCATTTGCTGCTTCAGTGGCTAACAGAACGCAATAACCTCCACTACCCACCGACTTCATGCGTTTCCGCACATCTTCCAACTTTGCTGGGTCCATCTTCATCCGCTGACTGATTCGCAACAATGGTGGTTCTACGGCACAACTGTTGTTATTATTCTCCGGTGAGCCAGCGGGTCTCTTTTCCTCACCTTCACCCACAACCGCCCCTACCGCTCCACCCCCGTTGTCGTCTTCGTCGTCAGGCGGTGTCTGCGGGGGTTTGGGCTGTTGACGTGGAAACAATTGGTCAGCAAGTGCCGAGTCTCCCGAGACTGCATGCAAACGACAGGAGAAGTTGCTCTTCTTTAACACGAACACTGCCTTCCAGATAGGACCAGCTAGACAAGCAGCAACCTCCTCGATGCTGCAGGCTGTTTCCAAGGAGATGTCTTCGGGTACAGCGACCGTGGGAGAGGGAGAGCGAGATCTCGACCGTGAGGAGGGGCAGGGTGTGGCGCTTTTAGTTGCAGAAGATGTATTCGACGAGGATGACCTACGACTCGGTGGTCGGACGGGTGACCGAGATACGGAGCGCGGGTGCCGGTTGGATTCGCGCCTAGGACGGTAAGTTCGATCATTTGCACTACTCCCACTAGGTCGCCCACGCCTCAAGGAATCGATTGTCCCCGAAATGAGCATGTGTGACTCATCGGTGAAGTCAACACGAAGGCGGTGATTTCCAGTGCCCAAGGGGTAACCACGCAGTAAATTAGCAGCTGCAGCAGCTGCTTCAGTTGAGTGGTAAAGTATGTTTGCGTAGCCCTTCCCCGACGGCCATACAATCTTCTTTGGGCGAGAGAACCGCTCCACCAGTGATGCGAACATGGGATAGTTTGTCCAAGGTCCCAGACCACCAACCCACAAACAACGCGTTGGTGTCACTTTGCCGTAGCCGATTTTACAGACGTAGCCGGCAATCCGCTTACCGGTCATGCCCAATTTGGCCCTATAGGCCATACTGACATTGACGTACTTGAGAAATGCGTAAGCTGGCTCATTAGAATTAGAAGATTGGGGGCGCTTAATGTCCACATCCTCCAGGATACCATAGACGTCGAAAATCTGACGCAGCTCCGAAATACGGATATCTGGAGGGAGGTTGCCCACAAAGAGAGTACGAGTAGCAGACGGATCGTCCTCGGGGCTGGGATGCCCACCACCCAGACTGCTGGAAGTTCGACGCGGCATTTCGTTTCTGTAAGTTGGGGAGTCGCGTTCTCGGATTCTTTCACCACGATATCCACCACCACGACGCTCATAAGTTGGAGATCGACTACTTCTCTTGAGTGACGATTGAGAGGGTATTCCAGGAAGCTGGAAATTCGATCCCGCACCGCCGTTTGGCTGGTTAGAAGCGCCACCAAGTGCAGCAGCAATCGCAGCAGCATTCATAGCCGCGGCAGCTACAGCAGCAACGGTAGCAGATGAGTTAGGTGAGTACATATTCGAGGAGGAGACAGAAGGAGCGGCGAGAGTCGCGTTCAGAGCAGCCGCAGCTGCTGCCGCAAAAACGGGATCGATTTTGGTTCCTGAAGGTCCCACCAACTCACCACCTGGCACCAAACCCTGAAGGAAGCGATCTGAATGTGAACTTCCCTGGCTGTACACATCGGAGGAGCGCATGTTTCCACTAAATGAGTAGAAAGAATAAACAGATGAGTTAACTCGGTGACGTAGCAAAAGAAAAAATGCGAAGATGAGAATCACCGAACAAAATGAAAACACAACTTACCGAATAGTCCCAGAAGTCATTTTTATGCGTACTACTAACATTATCTTGTTTTCAAATGCTCAGATAAATTACCATTATGAAATACTATCTATATTTTTGTTTTGAAAACTTACTTTGATGCATTCTAAGGGAACTGGCTAAGGCTAAACTCGAGCATTCCTTTGGAGGAACTGATGTGTCGTATCCAATAATGTAAGAAATGAGGAGAAAATGATAAGGTGAGAACGAAAATACACAACACAGAGAATCATCGGACGCTCCCATGAAAACCATGCGAAAAATTCACTCCAGCGATTGTATTCACTCCCTAGCGCCCAAAAAATGGTAATTTGAATTGATGAGCCAAAAAAGGCCATTCGACATCAGAAAATTATTAGGAAGTTTACAATCAGGAGTTCCCAATAAAAGTTGCGCAAGAAGATCTGGAGACTCCTGAGAGAGCTAACCAAGGTCTGAACACTAGCTAAATTTTCGCTTGAGGAGCAGAAAGTCAGACAGTTGGAGATTTCATTTGACTTGCGACCATCAAATAAAAGTGCTTGCCAAATAAAAGGCGAACAGTTCCTCCTTGGCAACAAAGATGAAAACACATTTAGTGCTTTGTGCGGAGCATCCAGCATCAAAATTTAACGAGTGAGGAGAGCAAGAAATTTTACCGCCGAGCCGCATCCTAATTATTTGAACAGATGGAGGAGGGGAAACAAGGGAAATTTAGGTTCAACACTCGACCATATTGAGAGCTTCTCTTAAGTTGTGATCGTCAAATTCACCTCGAGAAGACACACGACGTGATAGTGAGGGATCCATGCTTGAGTACAGTCCGCAAGTCGTAGACGAAGAGCGACAACAAAATTAAAGTATTTACCTGCTTCCGGACGAACGATGAGGAAATCGACGAATTGGGGGTCCAGAATGGTAACTCCCCGAACCGGTTTGACGGCCGGAATCACCATACTCACGTGGTGAGCGAGAGAAAGACGAACTCCCAGGACGGGGATTGCGTCTTTCATAAACTGGTGATGGTTGCATGGGTCTTGACCGATTGCCAACATTTCCATAGCCTCTATAGCTACTTGAATCTCTGCCATTTGATCCAGGATCACGTCTATATCTCTTATGAGGAGGTGAATCTCTTCTAGCAATCCTCTTCATCCTGCCACTATACTGGCGGATGCCAAGACGAATTTAATTGGTTGAAATTTTCATGAGAAAACAAAAAGATAGTAGCATACAGTACTGACTTAGCTAAAAAGTAAAAAAATATTTAGCGCAGCTCAAAAACAGAAACAGTATGCATAGAAGCAATTAGTAAGCAGTGCTTCAATCTAAATTTGCATAAAAATTGGAAGGACCTCGATAACGCCACCATGCACTTAATTGGAAGCGATTAAAACAAGCGAGTGCAAAGTAATACACATATAAGAACAAAAAAAGGTAAAAAATGTTTCTTTAAAAACGAAAAATCTTTCAGAAAAAGGAGTAACACTTTGGAAATTGACGACTGCGCAATTGGGTTTAGTTCACCAAATCATTTTTTCTTAGAGAATCGATCCTGAACGAAAAGCAAAAATACCAACACACACCTTTTAATGCCGGTCTTGTGTGATAGGTCTAATTAACTCAACGTGCCATCGTAACCCCTACTTTTAATAGAATCGAAAAATTGTTTTTAATTATGGAATCTAGACGAAGGATTCACCATTTTTTAAGGACAACATTTTTTGACTACTTGCAAATTATCTGGCAAAATAAACTTCATTACCCTAAGTACACTTCTGTTGGTTAGCAAAAACAATCTTAGTTTTTAGAGAAGTAGTGAAGGACAAAATGTGTATTTACAGCTAGTAGTCTAGCACCTCAGCCTACACTGAATTTAGATGAATGCACTGTGCAATACGATAGTGGTTTATCCCTCGGTTCTGGTGAGGCGCCGCTTTTTACTTTGAATTAGCCCCCTTGTACCTCGCTGGGTGGGCTGGCCTTTTGGGCCATACCAATAGCCCAGACACCTTCTCCGTGCTAAATATATATATTCTGCACGAGTCTTGTCTTCTTTCGTCTTCAGTGTGTCTCGGGAGGCTACAACTGCACTTGGCCGGCTTGCATGCATTCGTTAATTAAGATACTTTGGGCCTACTGCCCTGGACCAGATGTTTATCTTCTCGACGAAGGTACGCTGACGGAGACCCAAATCGGTCCCTACTCTTATCGAGGGTTAGGCGATTAGGTTTCTTAGTAACTTTGTTGTGTGGAGCTCACCTTTTCCTGCCCTTTTTTGAGATGTTCTAGAATAACGGAATGAATTTTAGTGTTCTGATGAGGTACGCTTAATTTATTTTTTTGAAAATCTATGAAATTTTTGTCACAGGTACAATTTTGAAATGTTGGTGAACTGTACTTATGGTCATGCTGTTTAACTCCTAAATGTGTCTGTTAAATCCCTTTTTTGAATGTCATTGTGAAGAATATGACACCTGTAGTTTTTCGTAAAGCCAATATTTGCGCATCATAGTTTTGAATAATTTGCCTTAGCGGTCTATGATTAAACTTGTTTGCTGGTTGTTTTAGCTTGCCCTTAGGCTCCCAACCATTTGTTTGTGCTATTTGTTCTCTCCGTTGTGTATCACCCTACTTGCCTTAGGCGGCTAGAGGCCGATGTATTTGGCTTCTAAAGATCTGAACAGCTTATTTTTTTATCTAGTACTTTCATGAACTATGCATATGACCCGCCATCATCTAATTTGCTAAGTATGCATGCGTGTATCATGATACTTCTTGCTCCTTACCACGTTGTCCCCGTTGAGCCCTTGCATATGCTTTAGGCTGAGTTCCCTTCCGTTCCTTTGTACTCCCAATTCACTATCTGCCCTGCCTCTAGTTGGAATTATCTCTATTTTCCCTTTTTTCCTTACATGCTTTCGTGTTTTCGCTTTTCCGTTCATTATCAGCTAGCAGTTGATAATTACACAATTGTGTAAACAATAACTCTCTTTCTAGACAATGTGTGCAGACCATCGTCGGAAATGGGACCGGGCTTATTTTGAAAAATTGGCCGATCAAAGATCAACAGAAGAACTGGAGGCCCTGCGCAACGCTCGCACAGAAAAGGAAACTGTCAAGCGTCAACCCCTTAAGGCCCGCGAATACACTGTACGAATGCACCTCTTTTTCAATGGACTTTTAGATTGATCTGGAATCAAATTTGAACAAATCCCAAGTTATTGCTAAAACCGGACCCGGCAGCTCCCAGGCTGGATACTACTGTGAAGTCTGTGACTGTGTAGTAAAAGATTCCATCAATTATTTGGACCATATAAATGGAAAAAAGCATCAAAGGAATCTTGGAATGTCAATGCGCATTAAACGTTCCACTTTAGAAGAGGTGAAGGGTCGTTTCTCAATGCACAAAAAAGCTCAAGAGCAGAAGGCACAGGAGTACAGTCTTGACGAGAGGATGAAACAGATTGCAGAGGAGGAAGAGAAGGTAAAGGCTTATAGGAGGGAAAAACGGAAAGAGAAGAAGCGGAAAGCCGAGGATCCTGATTTGCTAGACGAGGATGTGGCTGCCTCTATGGGATTCGGTGGTTTTGGTTCCTCCAAGAAGGCTCGTTAAGCTCATACATAGTTCCGTAAATATTGTTATGTACATAAATTTACCTTGTATTAATACCCAGTTGTTTGTTTATGCCCTTTTTTCCTGTGTTTTGGAGTCTCTTTAAAGTTAATTAGGAGAAGGACGGAACAAACGAGAGGCGGGATCTACGCATTAACACAGGTGATATTTTGATCAATATGTATAAACCTACTAGAACAAGAGAAGCTATAAATGTTGATACCCCGATAGGCTTGCCGTATTTGTCCAGATAGGATTTAATGGATGAGAAACACCCCTAATGTTTGGGTCATTCATAGTTTTTCAAGGAGCTTACTCTGTAGTATAGGGCGTCGTTGTGTGCCCCATTTGTGAAACGTGGGGGTCCGTATTGCCAATTCTGGCACTGCAGAACATTCTGGTATTGGTCGGTTGGCCAACCGGTAAGAGGGTCCACCAGAGTTAGGCAGCAGGATTTGGGCACTCGCTTGTAGAATAAACTCGTTTCTTTTTCGAGAATTGGTTTTACTAATTGTCAAATACCAGGCAACCGGGAATCGACACTGTAAAAGTAAGCGTTGACGGAGAGGTCCCACCATGACCCGTTGTATGCACCCCAGCCATTATCTTCAACTGCGCAGCATCGTAAAAAGGACTGTACGAAATCCCAGGAGTCTGTGATAAAGCCCCTTTTTCCGTATTCATGATATAGTGTTTTGTTCATCTCCAACTTTACGGCAGCTTGAAGCTTACAAAGGTGTTAGTGAAGAAAATCGCAAACCGGTGCTGGAAATACGATAAGACTTGTGCCTGCACAAAATGTGACAATGATTAAGGTAGCAATACCAATTACATACTAGCCGAATAAAAGGTCAGATTTTTGTAAATATGACATACCAAAATTAACATTAGCCTGCTGTACCTTTTAAGAGCAATCGAACCCCAAATTGGAAGGAAAATTAGGAATATCGAGCAGAATAAGGCGCTATATACCCCTCCACTAAAGAGATAGTTGCCAAGGATTTCCGGGGTATTTGACTTGTTCAAGGATGTAAAAATTGATAAAGAGAGTATAAAAACACCAAAAAACTTCACAATAAACAAATACAAGTTGGTTACCCCTAATATTACATTAACTGCGTGTATGAATATTCGCAGAACGAAAGGTCTCAAGCGAAAAGCCATCGTATTGTAGAAATTGTAATCCACCAAGTGCGTTTTCCCGCGCAGCAACAGAGTAGTTATACTGGACGCGGAAATGACCTTAAAGCTGGATTAATAGCCATTCATAACTGCGTTAATATGACTAATAGTCAGGGGGTTTGCCATCTAGTGGGTAAAAATAGAAAACAATCCAAAATTTCCTGCATTTATATCTGTTAGGGAATAACGGTGGTTTGTTAGAAGACACCTGGTTACTTCAATAAGTTGTGGACACAGGAAGGAGCACGCGTAAATTAGACTTTAGTTATTAGTTCCACTTATAAATACATTAGCCGACTAAAGTGTTTCCTGGAAAATTATAGAAAGATGCCACTTTTGTAAAAAAATTGTCACAAGATGAGAATTCTTAGGGGTAATGCTAGAAGTTCGCTCCATTTAACCAAAATAATCCTTACCATTTGTCATTTTACCATGGTAGTTTAATATGCAATTCCTCGGATGGACCTGCCTTATCATAACAAAAAATGTTGGGAATGCAATAATTTTAATACTGCAACATAAAAATATGCGAATGCGCCGAATCCTATGCCACAAGTACATATTGGCTATTTGCAATAAGGCTATGCGCGTTTAGAAAAGAAAGCAAGCACCTGTTCTGCACCATTTGAGAGGGCGTAGCATCTCTGTACCTGGCATATTCATCGGGTAGGCGGGTTATTCGGTAAACTTGGTAGCTGGCTGGTTAGCTTCGAAGGATGTCAACCATCAACGATTGCATCAAAGCTGGACTTTTGTGGTCCGATTTGCCTGAAACTATTAAGGCTACATTGAATCAAGATACGGCGGAATACGATGTGCGCGTTCTCGTCTATTTTCTACAAAATCAGCTGGAGTACTCGGGTGAATTAATAAGAAAAGTACCCATATCCTTACCGTTTTTTAAGCTTTGGTAGATTGTCCGCAGCGAAAGGACCTATTATCGTCAACTGGTGCAGTATAGCTCTCAACAAATGATGTTATTTCCCTATCACCTGCAACGGAAAATCGTGCCCGGTTTGAATATAACTCCTTTTAAATATTACAGGAATATTGTCCACCAAACAATGCTTTCTGAACTCTCATACGATCGATTACCAAATTTTACTGCTGCTGACTGTTTTCAAATCCTTGGAATTGGTAGGAATGAATATATGGATCTATTAAACGCTTACAAGGGAAGATTATGTTCACCCAAATCTGGCCTCATTGATACTCCTTCCTCGGTTCTTGACGAATTACTCCCCAAAGCCCCTCGTAATTTTATGCATCTTCAGCCCTGGTTTATCGTTAGAGTCGGTTCCATCAGCAACGCCGATGTTGAGGCCAATACACCCTATGTTCAATCTATTCTTGATAGGATAATTGATAATGATCGCCCGCCCGATACTGGTCAGGTCGGCCCCGGCCTCCGAGTTTCCGAAATACCCATTGATGTTTTCCAAAATCTTTATCAGCGTGGTCTGATTTATGTCGAAGTTCCGGTTCTTGAAACTGATTGTCTTTTTGTTCCCACTCTCGCTGGGTTTATCATGAACCGAGTTAGTGGAGATAGTTATGAAACCTTACTTTACAAGATTTTTGTGTCTCTTGATCCCCAGTCTTGTGTTTGTCAATTAGCTGCAGATCTGGGTGTCGGACTAGATTTCGTAATCAACGCCGCCTCATTGTTCGTTCGTCTTGGTTTCGCCTGTAAAAGTGACTCCGTTTCTGACCCAGTTGGTGTTGGGAAAAGCCAAGATAATGCCTCTATTACCGAGCCTGAAGGCACATCACCCTCTCTTAAAGCCAAAAAAATTGCCTTTGTCTTCGATTCTTCCATAACAGCCTACCTCATGTTGGGAAATCTTTCAGCAGACTTGAAAAAACATTCCGTTACTATGTTTGAAGTCGGTAAACTTACTGGTGATTCACTTAGTGCCTTCTATAAAGAAGTTTCGTCTTTATCCCATTCGGCTGAACAGGATGTCGGTATCTACTACGAACACGCAAAGTGTCTAAGCCAAACAATGCGTTACATTTCCGTTGCTCAAACCTCAAATAAGACTGACTTCCGATACCTGGATCTGGTGAGATCCGGTTCTCTGGCCTCACTGGAACCCACTACGCGGTGTCGAATCTTGTCAAAAAACTACAGTCTTATTGTCTGTACGGCCCCGCTTTCTTACGAGGAATCACGGGTTTTGTGTTCGGATTGGCCCCTCATCTTAGGGCCTCCGATCCCCGAAATCTGCTCTCCATGGTTTCGCCTCTTTATTTCTTACACTGCAGGTAGCGGTGGTACGCCCTCACTCCTTCTCTGTCGTGGAACTCACGTCACAAAATTGCCCCCACCTCTCTCTTGCTTCTCGAAATTCCTCGTCACTTCGTGGGGACATGACCCTGTTCTCATGGATATCTACGCCCTCTTCTATTCCATAAATGATCTCACCGCTAATTTTCCCGTCCTCATTCAGGCCTACGACGATCGTGATAATGACCTTCCCCTGCATCAGCACTTTCTTCCCCTGCCTATTTCATCTGATTTTCTCGAACGAATGAGTCATAAACTCGTTTGGCTAGAGCGTATATCGAAGAGCATAGACATCACCACTCTCGTGGGGTATCTTTCTCTTCTTTTTCCAGATGGGAAATCGGAGGTGGACAGTGAAGCACAGCACGCTGACATGGAGTCCGCAAATGAGATATTCGGTGGGGGGAGCCTGTACCAACAGAACGCTTCCCAGTTTCTTGAACATTCCATCGTTGACCCACGCGTGGTGTTAACGGAGGGCGCACTTGAGGGCGCTATCGGTGCCGGTCGATCCGTTCGCTTACTGAGTGTCCATTTGGGCATCCCACTGTTCAATTCCACACTAAATGATGCTATCTTCGAGAGGATGAGCCATCTCCACGACGAGCCTCAGTTGGATCTTCTACCTTCAGAGGTGCGCTCTCGACTTTCTGCAGCGAATAATGCGTTGCAGAAAGGTCTTGTGGAGTTCATAAAATCCGCTGGGGGAGTTTATGTGCTCAATGGCCTTTCCGTGATACTGGATGACAGTCTGGCAGGTAGTTGTGGTGACAAGGTGTCCACACCTCCATTGCCACTTCCGTCGAAGTCGTTGTGTTGTTCGTGTGAGGGTGACTTAGAGGAGTGGGAAAACTAGGACGGAGGTAGGAATCATTATCTCCACTGCTTTTTTTACTTTTTGTCACCCCGCCTGTCTCCGGATATCACTTCCTTTTTTATGGATCGTCAATTTTTTCGCATGAAATCAATTACTTATTTTTGAACTCTTTCCTCTATGATGTTATGCTGCCCAATTTTGGATGTTAGTTTCAGTCTGTATGGGGCTATTTAGACACAACAGTGAATGACCTTTATTAGGTGTAAAAATAGCGGGAAATTGTTGTGCACCATACAAGAAATTGGAAAATAACGGTGCTTAAACTAGATCGACTTGCTTCTAAAGTAGCTTTTGCTTCAAAGCCAGACTTCGAGAAGGCTGGGCTTGGTTAGTAGATTAGGAATGTGGGCCCATCCCTACCGCAAAATGTAGGCTTAAAACGAGTACGTTGCCATCCTCGTGGATTCACACTGCATTTTCTTATCTAAATCGTGCAGTAGGGGGTACCTGCATCAATACTTGCAAAAATTTGTTCATATTTTAGGGCAAGCCTACAATTTAGATACATTCTGCATGGAATTATGAGACAAGAGGATGTAGTTGGAGAAATTGTGGAATTACCCTTGAAGTGAGGAATTACCACGCACGGAAGTTAATGTTGTTGTCGCTGGTTCTTATCAGGGGATGTCGGAAAACGAGACAGTATTGTATCAGATAATCCCCAAGTTTCGGTTAATACTTCCTCAGTAGGCCAATTCATTGATATAATCTACGCCTTTTCTCGTCAGAAGAAATAATAATTGGGCATAAAATGGGTCAGAACCCCATTTTTGCAAGTGAAAATACGTTACAATTGACAAAAATAGGAAATTCTAGAGTTTGTGTGGGGATCTTGCCACCTTACCATACAATAAACGGAGCTAGTAAAACGCGTGTATTGGTGGATATCCCCTTAGTAGAACAGGCTGTCTCGTCTCCGTTGCCTCTTGTTAGAATTTATTATAAATTAGGCCACGGTAAGTCAAATAACTCTTGAATATCTCTTAGTGTGCTCATAACCAATCCACTGGTCAGGTACGAAAAACGAAGAATTAGATCCCAGAAAAGGTGTACACATTCTGGGCCATTAAACTACCGCTGAATCGCAGGTAACACGTAGACAGGTCAGAAAATCTGCGTTGGCAAATTGAGTCTAAAGAGAGTATCTAAAAACGTTATCTTTCAAATTCCTTGATTGCCTTTTTAGAAGATTTGATTCAAAAATCAAATCAACAAGTTGGGATTAGGCCCTTTGTTTTACTTTCCCAAAAAGGCACCAAAGTGTTCTGTAATGCCACAAAATCCCAGATAGATATGCGACGACAACTGCTGAATGTTGACTTCCGTAAGAAGGGGCATGGACTGTTTCTAGACACACACCCCCTAATTGCAAGTGAAGATTGGGATTGTCACCAAGGTGGGTCAAAGAAAACAATGATCAGGCGCGAAAACACACCAATACATCTAGTGCTAGCAAAAGTTTTCAAGAACGCCATGGGACTGATTGACAGTATGTTCTCAAAGAAAGCGATCACCCAGGCATCACAAATGAGGAGGTCAAATTATCAAGATGGATCCAGATCAAAATAAAGCCTAAACATTCGCCATCAAAGTGCTTTACATGCAGTACCTGTTACCACAGGCTAGCAACGGGATTGTGGTAACTGACTGGGGCCTAACAACAGGGGATGTGCACAAATAAAAAGGCCTAATTTATTTACACCAACACAAGTGTGAACAGTTGTTTTATTTGGCAGCAAAAAGACTTGGTCTTGTGACCGCCGGCGAGCCAAAAATCGATCCGCCTGTTGTCGCCCCGAACCCAAAACTCCCCGCAGTCGTGGTTGCTGTCGCAGGCAAAGCCGCCGCAGAAGCGGCACCGAATCCAAAGCCAGTGCCCGATGTCCCTGTGGAGGCCGTCGGTAGACCAAACGAAAATCCTGTGGCTGGTGTGGTGGTAGCGGTAGTTGCCGATCCGAAAGCCCCCAAAGTGAACCCACTGGTCGAAGTAGTGGTGGTGGGAGGTGCGGCTGAGCCGAATGTGAAGGGACCAGAGGTAGCTACCGGCTTTAACGCCGAAAAGAAGCTACTCGCTGTGGTCGTTGTAGCTGTGAGGAATAAGGGGTTTTATTCCCCTGAATCAATAGAAGAGTTTGAGGGCAAAAGGCGTTTAACTAACTCGTAGGAGGTTGTAAAGCGCTCCCAGTGGCTAAAGGAAGGCCTGTAGTCGCTGTAACACCGCTTGGGCTGGCTAGTGACACAGTTGTGGTGAAGGGCGGGGGTCCATATGGCGTAGCAACGCTCGTCCTCTCAGAGTCGAAGAGAAATTTGTCAAAAGGAGACATGGAGTTATTGGTGCTAGGTGAGTCAAAAAAGGCTGTCTTTACATCCGGATTTCGACGTTGGCGAAGGAGCTGTGTCTTTGAAAGCTAGACGAAAGCATGAGGAGGGGGTAATCTTACACTCAATTCCTCATTCAATGTGTACAGTTGAGCAGCAAGCGACATAAATTGGTCATCCAGTGTCCGAAGAACGTCCGCCAACTCCTTCGGCGTCAAAGAGGCTTTTGCATGGGAGGACAGGGAGCCTTCGATAGCCTCTACTTGCTGTTTGTACGTTTGAACACGATGGCCAAAAGAGGAGATACAGTTTTTGAAATACCTAATATCGGTGAATGAGTCAAATTCACTCCATTACTCGGTGAGCTCAGAAGTATTTTGGGCAAAATCGCAGGTCATGTCGAGGGATCGTTGAATGATGCTGGAATTTCTTTCAAGCTTCAAGACTTCATCACTCATGTGGGAAGATTTTACGCTTTGGCGTCGAAGCTCCGATAAGATACACGTCACTGAACGTTGCAACTCCGAGAGTTCTGACAATAAGTCATCGAAAGACTTGTTGGATATGTTAATTATTTCGTCACGCTGTCGTCTTTGGTCAGCGAAGTATTTCCTTCAAAGAATCGTTTCAAAATGAAATGCCGTACTTCAAATCCTCAACCAGTTTTAGTATTTCAGGAGAGACTTGAGTGTCCTTTTGCGCCTTTGAATCCCTAACATAAGCAAAACAGTCATTAAACCTTACAACAATCCTGTAAACGTGGCCGAAAGCGACATTGCATAAATCGCAGATGAAGATCCTACAGTTTTGATGCACCACAAGCGCACATGACCAATTATAACGAATTTTCCCGATTATGTCAAAAAGATGTTCACCCAAAAATTCTGTCTCCAAAAAGCAACGTTTTAATTTTACTAGTTTTGGCTTGTTGTCTCTAAAAAGAAAGAGTGAAGATCTGAGTATTACAGCCTGAATGGAGTTTTGTTTACCTAAAATCAGTGCATCCCATAGATACAAATGCGATTCAATTAGTTTTAGCAGACTTCTTAGTCATTGCAAATGTTGCCAAACTACTTGATTTATATGCCACTGCCTGACGTTGGTATACGTCTTTCTTGTTGAGGCATAAATCTTGTCCATGAATAAAGTAAAATAAGCGTCTTACTATTGAGGAGATAATACAGTTTTTTAAATAAAAAAGTGTAAAAGTGTAAGTCGGTTTAGAATCAAAATGAGTAATATGGTTTTAGTGTTGCCAAATTTTTCCCATATGCCAAAAACAAGGATGTCGCTGCACTGCATTTTACACGTTTTCTGGTTTGTGCTTCTTAGCCTAGAAAAGGGTTTCATTTAATTTGATTAGATTATCACGTTGTTATCAAGCTCTTGTTCTTTGCGTGATAAGTGCTAATTAGTTTGATATGAATGCCACAAAGTGGAATTCCAACCTTCCTAGACATCGCTAATTATCAACATCTCAATATTTTGGCCAATATCGGTGTCCCTCGATCAGTAATCACGATGTAGTATGTGCTCTAAATGGCAACCGTAAACCAGAGACGACTGTAGTGTCCTGAGACTCCCTGAATGCGAAAGAAGACACAACACTTGGGCAGAATATATAAATATTCAGCACGGAGAAGGTGTGTGAGCTGTTGACCTGGCCCAAAAAGCCAGTCCACCCAGCGAGGTACATGGGGGCTAATTCAAAGTCCAAAAGTGGCGTCTCACCAGAACCGAGGGATAAGACACTATCGTATTACACGACAGTAATTGAACCTTATTATGAGTGGAAATGTATTTAGCCAAGTCGGCGCAGATGTGATTTGTCTATTTATTCAGTGTTGTACAATTTTTGCTACGTACAACTGCATCATAATGATAAAGTGTGGACGACAGGTACACTTCCTACATCAAATAGCATAGGGAATTTGGTTGTTTGGCCTTTTTTTGTTTGTCGTTTACTTTATCACATTAAATTCAGGTTTTTAGTAAAAAAATAATTGAGATGTCATTTGTTTGTTTAATTGGGGTCGCCGTGTACTCGCAGTAGAAAGCTTGTTACTGAAATTTTCCTTGTTCTGTGACGTTAGTGTTTAATAAGAAGCCAATTGCCTTTTCGGTAAATTTCCTTTCACTAGCTTTAACAATGTAGCCTCCTTAGTATTCCAGTAGAGTTCAGATGCCATTAACACATCCTGAAAGCCATGCCACAAGTTAAGACCATAATATATGTGGCCTCATGATTGCTTACATAGGTAAACGAAGAATAGGACCACCGTACTAGACAAGAAATTTTATTTTGGACTAACTACGCAGCTCATATACGCAAGCTTTAATTAATTCACCTTGTTTGATGGGTTCCCGAAACAATTCCATTGTACTTACAACCACTTGAGGGGCAAAAAAACTTTTATTTAAAAGTTGGCCATGTATTAAAAAAGGCGTTTTTGACCTAAACTTATCTATTCTTGACAATGGTTCCCTGTTTAACACTGCAATGTGCGAGCCAGTTGTACTTATTCTTCTAACCTCAAATGACCTTTAGAACAATCTTGCCTTACTAAGATAATAAATTTGCATAAATGCATTAGTGTTTATTTTTTTGATGAATTAGAGTCAATGTTAGCCATTTAGTTCATGAGTAATTAGTTATACGTTGTGTAGCGTCCCGAGACTCCCTGAAGACGAAAGAAGACAAAATACTCGGGCAGAATATATATATTCAGCACGGAGAAGGTGTCTGGGCTATTGGCATGGCCCAAAAGGCCAGCCCACCCAGCGAGGTACAAGGGGGCTAATTCAAAGTACAAAAGTGGCGCCTCACCAGAACCGAGGGATAAACCACTATCGTATTACAGTTGTTTCATGATTAACATCTAGTGTAATACTCCTAATGTGTCCATTTTGTCAACTTGTTATTACTTTTTAAAAATTGTCAAATGGCAAATTTAAAAACTTATGTATGGTGGACTGTTAAACAATTATTAATCACAAAAATTCCGAATGGGTTAGCATTAAAACATCTTATTTCTGGCAACCATGAGATTGCTCGCAAATCACATAATGAGTATGGACAAATATTTTGAGTTTCCACAAGCAAATTGATTAGTTCCTTATTGATGTACAGAATAATTTTAACGACTTTTAGGCATTCGCGGCGCAACTTGATTAATAGCGGGAATTCTCTTTAACCAATAGGATTGTTCCTTGGGCAGAGTTGTATTCGGGGGTTTCGTTGGTGGTGGAGTCGAATGGCAGCGGCTTTATCCAGTGAAATCAGCTACGAGAGTATTTTAGCTCGGACCGCAAGTTATAACAGGCAGTTACAAACCGACAAAAAGAATCGATTGCCTTTTTTGGACAACGCCACTGGAATAGCTCAAAGGCCCTGCTATTTACAGCGAAAAGACGAAGAACGGTACCTTAGTCCCCTGAATGACAAAGTCTTTGCATACTACCCCCAAAGATGGAAAAAGACAAAAAAGAATGTTATTTCCCACAGCTCTGTTGTGCGCTCTGTTGACCAGTACAACAACAATGCTCGAGCAGGTAATGTAAAATCGTGTTTTGGCCAATCTTCCTTCAGCTGATTTGTTTTCAGGTGGTGGTCTTTCAGCCCAAGATGCATTATGGCGTGAGTTGGATGATGAGGATAGCCATAGCACATGGGCTACAAACCCTGTGTATGACATCGATTCGGAGGGTAGTGAATTAGCCGACGAGACTTATGGCGGTCGTCGTAAGAAACGAAGAACAAGAGTTAGCCGGTTGCTTTGACTTTTACTAGTCAATTTAGGGCCCACGTTCCGCTAGACCGAACGCGAATCAAGGTCTTACTCCTACCGGTCGTAGGCGAGCCGCCACTAATTCCTACTATTCCAACTACACTAATGGCAGCATAGTTTATGACGAAGAATCCAACGACAAGTTTCCAAATCCCCAATTCGTCTGCGAGGCCTGCGGCATGCGCTACAAAACAAAGACCGGCCTCAATTATCACTACAACTCTCAACACGTGGCCAATAATTCTCATGTTTGCTAAATTACCTAACACGACATTTTCTTGTAGTCAAAAAAACCTAATCAGCTTTCGACTGTAAGAAACAATCAGTCCCTTCCTCACACATCTGTCAACACGGGTCTCCTCTCTGCTCTAATTGAAAACACTCCGAGGGATAAAGACCGATCAACGTCTTATAACAGCAATTCGCGGAATCTACCGAGCACAAGTGAGTGTATTCCAAAGTGTAGACTTGGAGTATGTATTCTCCCGCAATTCCTGCTGTGCTCAGGCTAGTCTATGTGGTGTTAACGAGCGGGTTTTTGTGCCCTTTTCAGTGCTTATCCGTAAGGGCTAAGGAGCGGACTGGCGTTGGGGGGAACCACCTGCGAAGGCAGTCAGCCAATCAGTCACCTCAAAAAACAATCCTAAAACACACCTATCTACTTACACAGTTGTACGCAGAATTATGTAAAGGTACATGTAGAGAGTGGTACTTCTTAATACGCTAGAACTCCACTCTCCACCCGCTTGACTAACTAACTGTTGCCATCATCTTTAAAAATGAAGCAAAGGATGCAGTCTGATGTGCTGAACCAGGTGGCCCCTACGCCTTTAACCTCACTCCTACCCTTGCTCCTTTTACTCCCTTTTGATCCTTTACCTCCCTTACTCCCTTCCGCCTCACTCTGATTTCTTGGTTTTATCTTGCGCGTGCTTCCTTGTTTGCTGTGGGTCACACCGTTGCTCCCTTCGGTTGTTTTTTACACATCTGGACTTGGACACGTGTGTGCGGACAGTTCGTCTGCACAGCCACACCTCAAGTGCTTTCGTTTATTCCTCTCTTTTTGCCTCCTTTTTTTCACATTTTGCTCGCGTTGAGATTGCTCAAATACATATTAACTTTATGCGATTGAAGTTTTGGCATTATTTGTGTTTTGTTCTTTTTTTTGCTAAGGAATGCTAAACACTTGGTTGTATTTATTGAATCTTTTATTTATGGCTGTCTTGTGTCTATTCGAGTTCTCAATTGAAGCTCTCAACCTAAGGGTATTCGAGTCTGTAACTTCTTAGGCGGGTCAAAAATTCCAACGATACGTGCCAATCATTTCTATCCTCCGGAAATTGTTGTTCGTTATGTTTGAAGCCATTTGAGATCTTCAGGTTCCCAATTGAAACATTTTTAAGTGCTTTGGTAGCCTTATGGCATGCATTAAAATAAATCAAATATGCCCATCTCTGCAGCTGAACTTAGCCCTCAGTGGTTAATTTCCAGTTGAAATGATCTTTATTGCCCTTGGTTTCTTCGTTTGACTTCATAAGCCCTTTCTTTAGGTCCATTTCAGCGTTATTCGGCCTCATGTTGGCTATTAATCCTTAAGGATTTTTTTATCGAGTCATGTAAGTTCATTTATATACTTGAACGGTTTAAAGGCTATGATGCTCCATGTCAACACTTTGCATAACCTGATAGTTGTCAACCCTGTTTGATGATGAGTTTGTCAAAATCCGTTGGGGTTAATTTAGCCGACTTCAGATGCTTTCATCTGTCTCTTTTCTTAACTTATGCAAGGACTATTCGAATTTGTGCCTTTATTCGATTATAACTATTGTTATCTGTCATCGATAAATTCCAAGCAGTTCTGATTTTACCATTCAACCCTTGTTATGCTTGGATGACTTTTGAATGTGTTTCCTGCGTTTAAAGAGGTACTTTGAGGTGCGATTCTCCTCAGGATGTCAAGCGATGCGTTTAAGGTCTTCAAAATCTGAGTATCCTTATTAGTTTGACACACTGCAGTTGCGAGGTTCTTCATGTTAGGTTCAAGGAGACTACTGCGTTCCTTTTCACCCATCCTATCTCAGATCCTTATTGCAAAGGTCGATTTTTCCCATTTTAGTAGAATTTAGTTTTGTATTTATTATTTTGTACGTGGAGGTACTTAAAGTGAGGCAATCATTGTTAAATTGTTTGGGTTACTTTGGCGATCCCCAAGTTGTCGTCTCGGTCAATACGTAGGTAAACATTATACTGTATCTTTTCCTAACTCTATTCTTGAAATTAAAATATTTATTTTGAATCCTGTCTTGTTTCCGGCATTGCGTTGGGGTCGAGTGCTTTTCTCTTCTTTCTGTCAACGCCACGATTGCCCAAGTATTTGCCTTTATGGAAATAAGGCCGTCCACTTGTTATCCGTGGTGAAATCTAGCTTTGTGGTCTTTCCATTAACCTATGTTCGTTTTTTTTGTATACTTATACATTTTTCAGACTATGCTCTTTCGTTTAAAAGTCGCTTTATATTCCGAATGATACGTTTCAGGTTTATCAATTTGACACTTAAATTTACTAGCTCCGTCTCATTGACCTCGGTGAGGTCCATGGGTTTTAATTTAACTACCCCTCCCTTAGCCTTGGTCTTTTTTTCCATGCTGAATGGATTTAAAGTACTGGCTAAATGCTATACCAGTTGATGGTGTACCTCAATTATGGCAACCATCATATGACTTGTAAAATAATAAAAGATTTTCAAATCACCGTATTGTAACTTCCAAACTGCTGCTTTGACAAGTAATCTGCGGTTATCCAAGCACAAATGCAGTTTAGGCGACTCATCTCGTTACTTTTTCAGGGGCAGTTTACCCACCTGAAAGTGGACTCGTCTCCATCGCGTGAAATTATGATTTTTACAAGTACTTTCAGATCATAGCTCTAATAAGGATCGGGCTGACTTTTGCTGCAGGTGATGTTTCGGGTTCGACGAAAAACGGCGGAAAAAAAGAAGCGTGTTTCACATCATCTGGTTTGGAATGTGTGCGCCTCCCTGTAGACCATGGTGCCATTTTGGGAGGCGTTGTCTGTCAGAATCCGGGTCACCAGAGTGACTAAGAGACGTCTCTATTGTGCTTACGCAATGTTTTCACAACCTGGTTTTCCTCATCACCATAACGGAGCACACGAGTCCCATGTGGTTGTATGCGGTAATGACTTTGTGAATTGAAGCGATTTAAAAGTCCATTGGATTGTGAAGGTCGGGATTGATTTAGGAAAAGAACAGCATCAAGGCGTACTTGATTGAGCACTCATCAAGGCTCCTTGTTACAGATGGCCAGATTATTGTGTCAACTCTGATAATAACTGGGAAACGGCACGTGTATCGTTTTGCGCACCATTTCTGATCATTTTTAGTTCATCGTGGCTATGGCAGCGCATTAGTTGGATAAAATAAGTGGCCTAAAGAAGTTAAGTCAAATACGGCTTTCATACTCAAGCAGAGGCACCACCAGTTGGTCGTACTCGCTCTACCTTTTGATTCCAGTATTTACATTAGAAACTAGTAATTTTTTTCTCAGCTTTTATGCGTTCTCTTTCGGAAAATGGGGAGTAGTTGTCCGTTTTTGCGTTAGATTTTAATTTTATTAGATTCAGGTTTCCTTGCTGACTAGGCGAATCGCTCACCTGTGCTTTGTGGTGATGGCAGTAGCGATTCGACTAATCGGCTGATATGTGCTGTTGCGTCGGTGAAAGTTGATCCTACTTGTCATTCTTTTTGGTCGCAGTAGACTGGGGCGCGCACACTTGCAACTTTAGCACCAGCAGTTAAAATTGACATTGATGGTGGCGACAGCTATAGCAGGTAGGCTTTGTTGTGAATCGTGATTATGGCATAATAAGACACGCCAGATGTGTGCTTCGAAAAAGCTGAAATTCTGTTGGGTTCTCGGTGGTGTGGTTGCGTGTGTGAGGCCCTTCGTTCTAGTTGGGTAACTTGTTCTCCAGCCCTTTTCATTACAAAAGCGTCCACGATACGTGTACCTATTCCACCAATCATTATAACTGGTCAACGGATGGGAACATCAGTCCGACATTCTTAGGAGCTTGTTCGGTAAAATTTCCATGCCAGTTGCAGAGCTCATTCTTGAACGGTTTTCATCGTGTTTAAATAACTTCCTTATTAGTTGAATCGTCCACCTAATGATGGCAGATTTGCCTGGTAAATGGGTTTTTGCGGTTTCATGGCTGGCGACTAGTCTTTCCTTGATACACTTTGGACATGGAGCGAGTACCAACTAATCCACTGTACTGTCGCAAAAGTAGCAGCTACACCAGTAGCACCTAGTCGATGGATGGGGAGGAGAGGGAGACAACCACCAGTTGCCCCTTTTTCGCAGTTGTTTCTGATCATGGTACGATAAAACGCTGGATGTGTGGACGAATGAACAAGCGGGATAATTGGGTACGCTAGTGGATGACCGACAGGTAGTTGCAGCTACCTTCTTTCTGTTCCGTTTAGTTATGGTTTTGTTAAGCCCCTTTATTGGTTAGAAGACCTGTTCTTTGACGCACGTTTTATGGGTGTGAAATAAGTTTCTCATCATAACGACAAAGTACAACGCCTGGGACAGTTTCTGTCGTTTTAATGCACTTGATAATAGTCACAAGATAAACTTATCGACTTAACCAAGAGGAATATTAGGTAATCGGTTTAATGAGCGCATTTTAGGCGGCATCCTGTAAGATGAAGAGATAGAAAGGTAACTGCTAGTGCTTAGTCTTTCCCCTCATCCCTTTTGATCATGTTACGATGGTGGGCGGTCTATAAACTTAAGAGGCGTTAGTAATTATGCCACCAGCAGATAAACAGTTGTAAGTGGTTTGGGTGTGAGGGCAAGTGTTGCGGTTTTTTTTAGTTGCTTTTTGAAAGCGGTACAATAAGACTGGCTGCATCCAGACAAAAAATTCGGATAAACTAGTCCGCAATTGTCACTGCATCTCCGGTGGTAAATTAATTGACAGAAGAAGTTACAGTGCTAATTACCTTAATATTTGATAGTTTAATTGACTCACTTTTATAGTGAAAGGGGTAGTCATCTAGTCTTTTTCCCGAATATGGACATACTAATATTGGCAATAATTAATCCTTCCCTCTTCCCTTAGTAATCGAAGTGGACTGTCCGCGCCCTGCAGACGTCGCAGACTTGGCGGAGACGCTGTCGTGCGACTACTGCGGAGGCGATGAGCGATCGAACCCGAAGCGGCCTGGCGGTGCAAGCCCCGAGGGCCTCCTCTGCTGCTCGGACTGCACGCGCTGTGCGCACTTCTCCTGCGCCCAATTCACTCCCAACATGGTCACCTCCGTACGCGGCTATCGGTGGCAGTGTCTGGAGTGCAAGACCTGCTGGCTTTGCGGCACTTCGGAGAACGATGTACGTGCCTTTGTTCGGTATCGATATATGGCGCTATCATAGTTTCTGGGCAAACTGTGCAACAGACGAACGCCTTTTTTGATCACCCGATCCCTAAATCTCCTTCTGTGTCTGTAGTTTGGGGGGATATCTTTGTTTGTACGACTGAGTGTTGTCTCGCAAACGGCTTGAATTGTCTTTCCGTGCTTTGATTAATTTTAATAACTCCTTAATCACAGACAATTCCCTTTCCTTTGGGAATTGAGTTTAATTTGCGATTTTCGCATACACTCGCTGGATCGCATAAAGCTGCTGCAATGCATTACCAGTACTAAACAGATTTGGAATTTTTTGGTACTTATTTACTTATCCTCAAGGCACCCATTTAGGCGCACTACAGCTTATTTGTCCGGTAATGGTGGAGCTGTATCAAGGGGCAAACCTTTTTTTCCTCTAAGCCATCTGAACCTTCTTCGAGATTGATGCATTTACCACCTCTTTTAAGTAAAACAGCTTTGTAACCACTTCATCGTTCTCATCTTGGCCTAACTTTCAATGCCTAAGTCGTCTGCCAGAAAGGAGAGAACAATTTTTTATTCCCTAAAGTAGTCCTTCACATCGTTTTAAGTTTAACATATTTGTACGCCAGTCGTATCAATCTCCCCATCTAACAGACCTTTTGTTGCTCTTGTTTTTTTTGGTTGTCCTGGTCCACATTTTCCCCCAGTTGCCATGGTGTCGAGTGTTGAAAGAAAGGTGACAATAACGCGTCGTCTAATCGTGTGTTTCTCCTTCCTTTTTGCCTGAAGTGGAACTTTTATTGATTTCCTGGAATCTGTTCGACCTCCATGTAACACTTCCGCCCTTTCCTCAAGGTCGCCGTTTTAAGCTTATTGTTGATATGCCTGAATGGAGGGAATAAATTGCTAAACTCTATCTTGGTTTTCAAAATAGCGATCAGGTTCTTTGAAACAACTCACTAGCCAGAAACGTAGATGATGCGATGAATTTTGTACTTCTACCATTTCCAACGCATCTGGTGGATTTTGACAGGGCTTCTACCTTAGGTGACCTCACCAAGTGATTTACCTTTAAGGGTGATACTGATGTCTGGATGCTTGTTACCAATGAACAGGTTTTAAATGTCGATCGTTTCCTTTGAAATAGTCTGACAATTAAAAAAAAACTGTTTCTGATGATTTGAACACTACGAGGTTGTTTTTGGTTTCCTGTAAGGTTAAGATAGACCTTTATTTGTTCAATTCAAGTGTCGCTGCGTCGACAGTTGGTGTAGTTACTCCTTTCTGATGTAGATTTCCTCCACATCGTATAGGGGAAGATATCAGATATTACACTCGTACCCTCGTCTAATTATTCATGAAGGGAGGATACAATCAGCTTTGAGTTGCGAGCAAGCTATCCCTGGCTCCGTTATAAGACGCACAGCATGCTAGCCTAGGGCACATTTTCCTCACATTGTATGTGGAGCTTCATTTACGGCCTGTTTCTCCTGGTCTGCGTGGCAGTTTTGGCGAGCAATTTCGAGTCCAGTCTGGCTGGCTGCCCAACTCTTCCAGGCTAGCTCACCACCTCCTCCCCCCCTCTAGGTGGGTGGATGGCTGGGTGGCAATTACGTTTCCGGAGTAGAGGCAGAAGGGTGGCGGTGGTTTTGTCCGCACCTCTCCCAACACCGTGGTGATGCTGGCGATGGTGTCTGGAGTGCTTATGTGACTGCGTCCGCGTAAAAAGGTCTGCTCTATTTCACTCCTCCGTCTCGGCAAAGTAGTCGCTATTACTTAGTAATTCTCCGACTTGTTGGGTTGTTGGACGGTCTGTCTGGAAAAGGGGAAATTATTTCCCATCATCCCTCCTCTCAATTTCGCTTTTGTGTGTGAACAAACTAGTAAGTAACTGTAGCGATAGGATCCAAATATGGAGGAGACTTACTCAGGCCCTCTCTTCTTATTTTTCCCACCAGTGGTCTTTTTGTCCCACAAGCAAAGAATCTAGTGGCGTCACTCCTTTTTTTCTCATCTCGAGATGCGATTTGATTCCTCTTTCTTTCCTCCCACCCCGATTTCAGAAGGGGACATCCACCAAGTTGTTTTATCGACTATGCGGATGCAACGCTTGCCTCTTAAGTCGTATTTAAATAACAGGTACGTTACCTCCTAGTTTTCTTTATTAAAATCAGCATTTTTGTAGTTTCGTCGCAACTACATCAGAGAAAGTTGGGAGGTTTAATGATATCAATTTCTTCTCTCCGATCTCCATTCATTTTAGTAATCCAACTACCCAGTTTCTTCAACTTGTCAATTAGTTGCAGCTGGCCTGATGTTGTCGAATTCTCGACTTTCAGTCGTTTCCTTTCATGACAACTCCTTTTAGCTCACGTCTAGTACGTGATATGTGGCTCCTTTCCAGAATTGAAGTCACCGGCCAGAAGGCAACAACGGCTAGCCATTCGTAACAAATTGTGACACTATGGTCTATGCCACTCGTGAACTTTTCATTCTACAAAAGGCGAGTTTTAAATTGTCCCTCGGTCCTCCTTCGTTGATGCCTGGGTTGTACCTTCTCTCTTTTATTCTGTCCAAAAAATACGAGATGACCAGCAATGCCATGTTCATTAACCGTACAGTCTCTAACACTGCGTCTTAAGGTGCCCCGATGACAGGGCTTTGCCATTCGTACTGGCATTGAAAGCACCCCACGCCAAGTTACAAGATGTAACAATGTGCCACTGTATTGATAGGGTTCACTGCCTTTGAGCCGCGATATCATCAAAGGGAGAAGTCGAGTGCTCATTTTTTTCAAACCATCTATCCTCTCCACGTTGCTATTTTGTTCAACATGACCTGGTTTGTTTGGAGTTGTGGCATCCGTGACGCCCTACCGCTGCCAATTCACCCGTGATATAAAAGGACTCCATCTACTTTAGTACGGCCGCCTTGATCTCAGGTCACGTCTTTTGCACTGATGGCTTGTTAAATGCTCAGGACCCATCTTCTGCTAAAATGGGACGTCGTCATTCGCCAGTCGTTGAGGTATCCTTTTGGCGGCGCCTGTACAACTACGTCGTTGTTCCACGGCTAAACTTGTACTCGGTAATTTTGGCCTGGATTTTGTTTTACAAGCAAAAGGATGGAAAATTGGAAGCGTGATATCCATAGAAACTTTCCATATTTACCGCAATGGACATAAGATCGGGCATTTCATGCTCACCAGCTCATGCATGATTGGTATATGCGCTACCGGGGTCGGTCTCATAGAAAAATTAACTATCATGGGCGTTGTTTTATTGTCCCAATTTGACTGTTAGTTGTAAAACCGAAATGACCCATTCAACTCCTGGTTGACAATTAAAAACCCGATTTTTTTAGAACGATAACATCAAGCATCCATTTTAGGATTCGTTGGTACAAGTTACCATAAACCAATATGGAACATAAGTCACACAATTCATTCCCCGAATGCTTTCGTCCATCAGCTATTTAGAAATGCAAAATAAACCCCTATTATGCTCCTAAAATAAAGTTTACCCGTTGGTCCACCCGTTCTAGCACCTGAATTGCTCTGGTAGACGTTGTTAGGTCCATGGAGTTGGGAAAGCTGAAAAGCCAGTGACGAAGAAAGAAAGAGACTCCGAAATGCTATTCGTCGTTGACGCAAGTTTCGATGGTCCAAATTACCAGAAAACGTTTGGTGTTATTTTTCCTGTACTATTTACCTTGGTCCAAGTAGGACCAACGAAAAATAAGGTGTTCTGTCCCCATTTAGCAAGTCGTTTTGTTGGTGTAACACAATTCATTTCCGCTTTTCGCGGTGTTTTTTGACCCCAAAATAAGCCCTGCACCAGGTCACGACGTTGAGCATATCCGAACTCATTACCTCGGAGACGTTAGAAGAGGAGTTGAGGTGCCATGGGCAAAGGTCTTGTCGCAACCGATTTGGAAAGTCCGCGCAGGTATGGCAAACTTTCAGCCCCTTTTTTGTTTCCTGATTCGATTCACCCGCCTTCATTTAGTGGCGAATCAAGGTGGCTATTGTCGTTCTAATTGGTGCTCCATTGTTGTCTCTCTCATTTCGACTGGAAAAAAGATGGCAGTTTTTTTTCTCCAAAATATTTGGCGCTTCTAGGTGACACTTACTTCCGCTGCGTCCTGAACCAGACGTGTTTTTCCGGCTCTGCACAATTGGCCATTGTTTTAGCTGTTGCAATTGAATTACCGTTTTCATATGGCTATTCGCTCTCCGTCCCTGCTTCCACACTATCAACAGTTGTAGTTTTGTCTAAAAGCACATCACTAATCTTTATGCGCTTCCATAGAATTTGTGATGGATTGTTTCAAGACTTGCGACTTCTTACCCCTAAGCTTTCTGATTGATACTCTAACATTATTACCAGCATGGGGTCATGAAACCGTATTTATTACCAGTTTGTTATGTAATAATCGGTGTCGTGGCTATTCACCGTTGGTTTATTCCTTCATTCCAGATGCTAACCGCATCTCTACCAGTTCTAGTTTTGTCCAACGAGGCGCCAATTCTGTTTTCGGTATAATTTAAGCATAGTAATAGTGGGTGGCTCATACTTCTGTATCTGGCCTTCAGTGAATCCTTTGCCTCACGCCATCGACGCTCAAGAATTGGGTGTTATTGTGGTTGTTTACTACACCTCCAGCAGTTTAAATCTATGGGGTGAAATACCTCGCATCTCGTGCATTTTAGTCTCGATTTTTTTTTGTTCAGGGTGCAGTCAAATGGTCACAATCACATAACAATGTTAAGACTGATCTCACTTCTTCCTGAGGCCGTGTTTGTTGCTATTTGGATACCGATTTTCGGTTTATTCATTGTCTATTTTGTTCCCTCCTTCCGGGGTTGTCACATCTCTAAGAGCCAACTTTACTGAAAACTGTCGGCTTTTCAACCACAAGCACCTTTGTGATTTTTGGCAAATTTTGACAGGGATGGTCGCAAATGAATTCCCTAAAGTCGTGTGCATTCCATTTCTGACTCTCTTCGATTGAGCCCTCAGTAGATTCGTCACCCTACCTCGGGGCAAGTTTCGCTTGTGTAGGGTCCGTGAACTGCCGACTGGGAGGAAGTAACCGCCGCTTTGCCGTGTGTGCGGGCCGCGACTAGGCTGATAGAAAGTGTGCTGACGTCGATGGTTTTACTGAATAATTGAGCCCCGGAACCTAATTACTTCGGTTCAGTGTTGATCACCTCTATTTTACCACTTTTCCAGACAAGACTGGCCACTGATTCATCTCCGCTGCGTGTGTATGAGTGGGTGGCTGCCTCGGGGTTGTGCTGCATGACGTGGCTGGAGGGGGGTCTGTTAACCTTATACGTCAATCTAGAATTTTCGTACTTGTTGCAGACAGACGAAGCAAACTTATTTAACAAGAAGGAGGTTTTGAATTTCATTTAATCCCATCCCTACGTAAATTGGCCGAACTTCCATTTCAACTTTATGAGGATCATATATCGGAAGTGGTCTTTTGCGACTATTCAAGGTGAAGATGACGTGATGCATGTGTCATACCTATTATAGTGAGTAGTGATGTGCATTTCTTACTTTCATTTGGGATTTACCCAAACCCAAATCTCTTCAGTGTCAGTCCCTTTCATGTTATTTCTTTGAACTCAGGCCTTTCGGATGAGTCGACATCTTCCATCGTCTGTCACTTATTGTCAGCTTGCTGTCACAGATCCTCTATATCTTTCAGTCGTCTTGTGGAATCGTCTTGTTCGTCGAACGCAGGTTGGGAGGCGCATCCACCTCGAATGAGAAGTCAGTGTCAGTCCTCAAAAATGTTCTAGAATCCTTATTTGGTGTGAGAATGTTGTGTGGAACTGCCTTCACAACAAGAGGGCTCTTGATTTCAATTAGTGGTCTGTTTTAATGGAGATCTTCAATCCTTTGGGAGGATGCATTGCATATTTTACCAGTGTGGGGATCTCTTTTGGTAGACAGATTGGCCTAAAATCAACGTTTTTTAAACTACTTTTATCCTAAATGTACTCCTCTAGTTGTCTACTAGAGTTAATGTTCAAATTCGTGCAAAAGGTCAAAGGCAAAACTATTGTTTCGCTCCATAGCAGAAGTTCCTTGTTGATGCCCGTAGCACTGCACTTTAAAAGGGTTTCTTGCGGTGTCTTCATTCCAGGTGAGGACGTGATGAACTCAGTAGCCGCAGGGATCCAACTTATAAATTGTGCTACAATTCTTGGCACCATTCAGTTAGGATGTCCCCCTGTAACCACCTACTCTGCGCCCATCTTTTTTGTAAGGGAATTTAATTTAAATCCATCCCTTTAAATGCGTTGTTTTGGGAACATTTCTGCCCCATTCTGCATAGCCTATCTGAATTACCTAGTTTAGCCATTCCATATTGCCTCCATCATTCGTAGCAAGGATTAAGGAGTAATTATGTCCGTGCATTCAGCCCTAACACATCTGGCTGCTCCTCCTCCACGCAGCCACTTTTGATTTCCCTCGGGGTCGGGTCTGTCTAGGGTTGTGGATTCTTTCAAAGGCGCTACTCTTCATGTGCCTGTTATGATGGTCTCGATTCAATTAAAGGAGGGCCAGTCTTATTCTTCCATGCCCATGCTCCCCTGTGTATCGGGTTACTGGGACGGATTATGAGAAAAGAGAAGGAAGAGAAATTGGTTTGTGCACTTTTGGCAAATGTCTTGGATAATGCCTTTGTCTGTTGAATGAGCGGTTGCCATCTGCTTCCCACTCACCATAGGTAGCTGGAACACAGTAGGACTTGCGTTCACTTTGTACGCTACCGTTCCTCGGCCCATCAAATTATTAGAGTTTAGGGGAAATTTACGATGAAAAACTACCATTTACTTCTATTGGATGCCGACGGCATCATACTTTTCCGTTGCAATGTATTTCTGTTGCCGACTGATTTGGGTTGGTGGTGACACTATTGTTGTAAGTGTTAGGTGTGCGTCTTTCTCTCAGTAGGGTAATGGACTCTTTATTCCGCTCTAGTTGTTTCCTCCCATTAAACAGTCCCGGACGATTGCAATGAATACGATTTGACTCTCCTTACCTTACGAATCGAATTTATTTCTGTTCAGAAGTTGCAAAAGACAACCCTCAAATTCGTTATATATCGTTTGGAGGAGGTAGAGTAGCCGAATTTGGCGCCCAAAAGTGGTCTTAGTAAGCGTTTTGATTGTGGTGGTGATTCCTAGACGGTGGCGCATCACATTCAGGAAAACCGTCTTCTTTTGATAGGTATGACAAATTACTTAGTTGCCGTTCTTTAGGATAATCTTAAATCAGCATTTCATTAACAAGTTTCAGTAAAATTTAACGTGGGTGATGAAATGTTTCGTGTGCACTTACATCAACACCTATGGTGAAGGGAAAGCCATGGTGCCAGTTGCCATCCACCAACAGACGACAACAAGCTTCAAGGAATAGCAATTTGTTGTCCCCCACTTCTTTCACGAATGCTAGAAAAAAACCTTCATGTATTTTACATGTTTTGTTGACTGGCCGCCTGACCAACTTGCGATGGGGAATGACTTTTGTGTATGCTCCAAAGTTAGGCAAACGAGCATATCATTGGTAATCTCCGATGAATCAACTCACTACTCCACTCTACACTTCGGCGACAACACCTCATCTGCTTTCGACTACGATCTGTGTGTTTGTGCGTTCACTATGAATTATTCGCTTTGCCGGGGGAGGGGCAAGCAACAGTGACGGGTGGAATCCATCTACTCGATAAGACCCCACCCTTTGCAAGACCACTTCCTTTTTTGGAAAAGCTTGTGAACAGTCAATCAGTAGGACTGTTGTCTCTTCCCTAAATGCCAACCGCATTGCACGATTCCATCCCACGTTCTTTTACTAATGATCCGGTCCAAAGTGAATTTTAGGTCAGATTGATCAGCTTAAACTATTCATAGAGGTTCTTTGATATCCTAACAGACTTACCGCAAAAGATTCACGTAATAAATGAACGTTGAGGCCTCTACAGATTTGGCTGAAGCAAGGCGTCTTACCTTTCTACTTACCACCCAGACCCTATTTCTCAGGGCGTCTAATTTTTAAGACGAAAAAAAACTGTCATCTACTTTTAATGCTTGGTTAATCCTTACTTTTACCGTTTGGTCAGCGAGTCATTCCATGGTTTGAATTAATGACGGCCTGTCAACGTAAAGTCCCGAACGGAAGTTATCGTATCCATTATCCCACCCTCGAGGCACTCCTGGCCTATTAGAAGGGAAGTAATGGCTCTGTAGTAACAGTGACTAATGAGGCATTAAATCTAGTAGATTCAGTGAATTTCACGATTTGCTGAATTTCGTGTGTACTGAAATCGATGTTCCTGTTTATGAGGCTTCGTGGTCGCCTCCACTTGTGACATTGGTAGCCTTGACTTAAGGTATGCTTGTACCTGCACTGCTATTGACTCTAGTTATCTTAAATATTGTGGTACTGATTTTACCCTTGTTGCAGGATGTAGAGAATATGAGATGCCTCAAAACACACTGCTAAAGTCTCATGCAATTGGTCTTCCAAATTCACTTGGCTATTGTTCAAATCAGCTCTTCTGTCCCATGTCCGTATTATTAATGCGACAGGCATGCATCAAATTAACCGAAAACTAATTGGAATAGATGTGCTCCCTCAACTCCTCCTTACGGGCTGGAAGAGGGGATTCACCTGGTCAAAATGTGTTCCTCTCGCCTTCCGCCTAGTGCGATGCACGTCAGCAGATTGTGATGCGCACTTCGTGGGTGGGTGTGCGCCCGTTTGTCCGTCCGCGCAGGGATTTGACCTCAATCGTGACCTGCATCTGGTGGTAGGGCAGGCGGAAAAGGGTGTTTGTCTTCCTTTTCTCCTTCATCTCAGCCACTCACTTCACTTCAAAGAATGGCATTTTGGCGATAAATGCACCGTCAACTTGAATTGAAAGAGCGCCGTGTAGTGCCTGATTCTGAAAGGCCTGAGAGGTTGGTGACTTAGGTAACGCGATAGCCGGAGTGTGGTGAATGAAGAATCCGTGTAGTCATAGACGGTTACGGCTTGCCTGCCATAGCTACTTGTGAAGGGGCTTTGAATCGAGCACTCAAAAGAGAAGGTGCTGTGCAATTAGTTAATCATTCTGCCTTTACACCCAAATTACTGCAGACGAAATTCACCAGACTTGTGGATCAACTATTGGCCGGACGATTCTTGAAGCGACGTTATCTTCGGGCCAAATTTCGTAACCACTGTGACAGAATGTCACGATCCCAGAACACTCGAATGGCTGGCCTGTTTTAGAAGTGAAATTCCTCGTAGGCGAAATTCCTACTCAAACTACCGACTAGAATTCTCTTTCTTTGTCTCTTTGGGGGTGTATGGCGAATATTTTGATGCAAGATCGAGCCTCAAGACTTAAATCAACAGGAAAGACTTTTCATTCAAAGCTCTACCCACTTTCGTCACCTTATGTCTCGGTATATTGTGGTACCGAAGTAGACCGCATCCTCAAACACATGGACACGCCTTTTTCTCCACGCATGAACCTCTCCTCGCCACACACACCCAAGAATACGGTTTTGGGGACGATAGGCACCCACTTTTGTAGTTTATCATCATGACTGCTTCAGTGAGTGGTGTGGGTGTTGGGTGCGTAAGTTCGAATCAAATACTTGAAATCTCGAGGTTTGGCAATCAATCTAACATTTTGCACGTTAAAACTCCGGCGGATGGAATCGTGCATCGAAACGGGAGCTTGAACTTTAACTCGCTGCATCATCAGCATTACTGGGTCTCGTGACTAGTAGTTCAAAAGTTGTGCCTTTGGGGTGGAGGTGGTTTTAAGGGTGCCTCTCTATCATTCACCATCTCGTGTCCAACTTCGTTTCAACCACGGTGCTACTACACTCTAAACCGGAAAGCTCACTTCAACCAATCGGCATCTGTTGAATATGGATGGTGGACAGCAGATATTTTCACGTTCTCAGGTAACGTTTTATCCCCTTTGTTTTCTTCAGCTCCACGATAATTGTTTGAAATAAACTTACTGATTACAAGCCAAGATAAGTTTCGCCAATACATCGTCGGCATAACCATAAATAGGAGTAGTAAGACTGCCCGAACTTTGACTTGATGGCTTATCGCCTTTGGTACTTCATGAAATAAACGCCTGCCCTCTGGTTACTGTATCGAGGGTTTATTTATGAACAGTACGTCTAAATCAGTTTTTATGACAGTCCGGGTGGTGTTACTCCTCTTTCATCGACTGGGGCCGGTTACAAAGGGTGGGTTAGTTGTCCACGGTATCGAATCTCTCACAGAGTTGGATCGCTTTTAGGGCTAAAGCCACAGTAATGGAATTGCTGGCTTAAACTGTCAAACTGTGTCCGCTGGTTTCTGGCTATGAGACACCTAAGTAAAACCTTGTTAGGAAGCTAAGTAAGTGCCGAAGTCCTTTTATTCTCTGAGATGGTCATCATTGCAGCCTGTAATCCTTTTTCAACGAGTTACAAGATTGAAGCTTCAAATTTTAAAATGTGCTTTGTCTCTTGAGGCCAAGTAAAAGCATAGCTGTAGCCACTTTAGCTTTATCTTCTACTTTGCGTGTGCTTGCCTAATTCTACTGCCAAGAAATGGTGATAATCATCAACTGGGGAGATGGGAGGATCACTGGGGACGAGGCGTGGTAGCATCTCTCATCACATCGCATCCTCAAGTGCAAGTCATCTCAGGAGAAAGTTTTTTTGCGTTTTGTGGTCTTTCGTTGTCTTGTGAGAATAGGACCTTCTTTCTATTGACTAGCGGCTAACTAGTTCTTTCTTTCTTGACCTATCCGGGGAGGAAGTTGCGTTTTCACATTTTCAAGCTGTATCAAGTATGTAGATCTTGGCCGTGACTGTTGTTTGGCTTTCAGGAAGTGAATAATTTATGTTCAAAAAAACCCCATCTCTAGTCCACCTTCAAACCCGCCCACACAAACCATAGTTATGTGGGTATGAAGCGTTGCGCCATAGGTCTGCGGTGGTGGGTGGATTTTTGGAGGATAACCAATGCTAGGTACATGCATTGTACCCGTTTCGGAGCATCTGTACCATTCCACTACAACGCTCATATTCCGAGATTACATACTTTTCCTAATAATTAACATTTGGTTCAAGAGGTGAATTTAGGCCTGCTCTATTGCAGACCTACATTAACCAAAACCATCGAACTAACCATAGTAAAGGGGAATTGTCTGCGCCTATGGCTACGTTTATATGGTCTTCACATTTGAGATTTCGAGGAATGAAGACATTCAAAGATTTTTGGGTCTTGAAATTTTCTACCTCAAATCAACTTTCATGAACGCCTTAGTATTCTGGTTGTTATTTCCCTCCCTCGCTCGCCTTGGCCGTGACTGAACTGAGATTGACGCAGCGCACAAACAGCAGCCACCCCGGTCTCCACCCCCCTCTCTTCCTCCCGCACTGATTTCTCTCAAAACCTTTCCCCCTCAAATTTGGACAAAAAGATATTCAGCGTTTTAGCGTTTGCCTGGCTGACTCTTCATCTGGCTACCTCCCTCTTCGCCTTCCGTACTCTCCTGTCAGTAGGAGGTGCCCTCTTTTTCCTATCGCTTTATCTCTCTCTCTCCCTCCCTTCTTGAGGGAGAAAAACAAGTCAACAAATGGGTAAATAAATGAATGCCCGAGCAACTGCGTTTCTCGTAGAGGCTGCTTGATTGTTTTCCCTCTTGAGTTTGTCGTTAATTAGCTAGTATTAGCTATCCCTCCACCTCCTCCTCCAGCCCTTCCCCTTCTTCGTGGATGAGCTAATCTCGCCTCGGCTTGGTCTAATTCCTGCCCCACGAAAAAGTCTCGATTTTACGCTTCTCTTTGTTTCCTTTTTTTAACAGGTCATTTGTGAGAGAGAAGTTTTGGAGAGCAGAAAACACTCTCATGGTAGCATAATAATCGTTTTGCTGTGCGGCTTTCGTCCTCATTTGCGCGTCAACCATCACCGCGTGATTTTTTGTTAAGGATTGCGGCACTTCTGGTATACTTACCTAACATTTTACACTTAAATCACTGGCTTTTGAGTATTTTGACATAATTTTAGTCCCCTTTGCCCCATATTGTCACCCTTAATATCTCCCATTATTCTGTCAAGGCTGTTCTCGAATTGCAAAAGCACGGGGTGATGTCGCTTTTTTTTTTGGTTCTGACTCACCTATCCCTGCTTTTTGCATCAACTAAGGCGATTATCCCTTTTCACAATTGGTTTTTGTTCATTTATCTAGTTGCTTTTTATTTAGCCTTGTCTCCATTCATGCCTCAAAATTACATTTAATACGGCCTTGACTATCCTTTCGTTGGGTCCGTGAAGAGTTACTTTGGAAGGTGTCTTTCCTTTCTTTAAGGCATCATTGAAACCCTCCATATTCTCCACTAGGTGTAGATTATCCCTGTCCTATTCTAACGCGATTTGATCGTCTCAGCTTTCGAGTTATCTTCTAAGCCGCTACCAGATGTGGATTTTGGATGTGGCTTTATTATAGACATACAGAAGGGCTGGAAGATTAAGATTGTGTGGTATGGGCAGATCTTTGTGCCACCAGTACTCGCATTTGCGACAGCTGCCGATTAAGTTACCATTGAGATTTCACCTGTGGATATAGACGGGCTGATCTCTGTGCTGGATAGCCTCTGGCTTCCTCACACCGATAGTGCCCTCTACTCGTCTGAAAGCATTAAATCTACATTGTCAAGTTCTTCATTCAATAACCGGATGCCATCTAGTATGAACAAGTTACCGTGGCGCTAGGTTGCAAGGTATGTGCTTCCGACGGTGCTTTATAGGCGACCGCCTATTCACATCCGAGAATCAGATACGCTGTACTTACTAGGGAGTTCTAGTTGGCGTCTCAGTTGTCTGCGAGGGCAAACAAATCTGGGAGTGCTTTGCTGTGAATGGTAACATGGGTGGCATGCACGGAACTCGACGACACTGGCGTGGACGTCAAATCCCGATCATTTCACTTCAAAGCTTCTGTTTAAGCAGCTACGAAGGCGCAAATAGTGTCTCCCTTGAAAACTTCCTATCTCTATCATCAAGTGTCCGATGATATGGTTGGCTTTCAATCAGTTGACGGAGTGTACTAAATGGAAATACGCTAGCCCCATGACAGATGTGTTTGTGGACATACTTTTGCAGGAGGAGATGTTGTTCTGTGACGACTGCGACCGCGGCTACCACATGTTCTGCCTCAGTCCTCCGCTCTCTCAACCGCCAGAGGGTCCGTGGAGTTGTTGTCTCTGTCTGGAGCGCTTCAAGGAGGAGGCCGCCTCCAACGTCAACGCCACTGCCAGCTCCGCGTGCAGCAACACCAAACCACTCTTCTAACAGCGCGTACTCTTCCAATCCTCTACCCAAAGCATTTCCCCCCCCCTCTTCAATCTTCACTACCCCAAACTCTTCAACACTTCTCAGGAGCATCCAATTTTCGTCGCTCTTTCACCGTGCCTCTGCATCTACTCGGTTCCTTGCTCTCTCTCTCTCTCTCCTTTCCCCCCTTTTTGTATGGCACTATTGATGTATTGCTCCTCTGTCCACTACCACCGTCCCCACCTCCCTTTGTGTATGACTGATTGATGGCATTGCTAATGCTGGTACACAGTGTATAGTCCTTGTTGAGGTGCATTTTCTACCTATTGTTACTATTGGTATTATTGCTATTGTCATGCTGACCGGACCGAGGCATTGCCGATTGTCCGATGTCTGCGATTGTACTTATGTACGTGAATGTGTGAATTGCAATGATTTTCAGTACGTATTTCCGGATTTTACTCCTTAATAGCAATTAGACGATTGATAGTTGTGATGCTTGCTAGATGATGGTTGTTGTCGAGTTTGGACAATGTCAATGCTATCCTTGGTGCTACTTCTCTGGTCCGTAGTATACGCTGTTGCTGAGGCTACTTCCAGACTCGCGCTTCTGCCACAACAAAATAATGATGCCAGAATTGGCTGCTAATCCGGCGTAGTTTGAAGTGGATGGATCGATGGAAGGATGAGTAGATCCAGCATGGATTGGATAGATGAGTCTGTGAAGATTGGACCACGAAGGTGAGCGGTTCAGCAATTGGTGAGTGGGTAAATGGCTTCGAGATGGATGGATTGTGGAGTAATAAATCAGGGATGGATGAGTGTATCCGCTTTCTTCTTGTGCAGTTACGCTTGATCTATCCGTTCCAAACTCAACTTAGATTCTCGACACTTCATCTGAAGGAACGGAACTTCTCCTCTCAACTCAAAGCTAATGTCGCCGCTTCTTGCAGAGATTACATAGCCTTTGTTGAGGTGCGTTTTTTTCTGACTACTCGGTGTCAACGATTATTGCTGTCTCTGTTGTGATGTGAAGTCCCACCCATAACCTGGGAAACCCTCTGTACGCCTACAGTAGAGCTGAATCCACACTAATTTCTAGCCACTTTTTCAATGACACCTCAGATACTGCGGTACCAAAGCAGCAACGTCAAGCATAATTGCCGGCCCTGAATATACTTCTGACAGGTGTATGGCTCCCTTTTGGATGGATTGATGAATTCAGAGGGATGGACCTGGAGGAATTGGACAGATGTCTCAAGAGTAGTTAAAAAAATCGAGAACGGACGAAAGTGAGATAAGAGGACGGAGATGTTGAACGAATCAACTGATGAGTTATTGAGTCCGAATGATTGAGCAGGTGGATAAAGGTATTCGTGGTTGTCCACTACATCCACATCCACTTTATCCACTTTTGACTTATTTCATATCTCCCGAAGGACTCATAACTAGTTTATGCTCAAGAGGGGAACGCCTCAAACCAGTGTATCGTTTGCTGAACTCTTCATTGGTGGTCCTGGGTGCTTGCTTTGTGTTTCGCCTTCAAAATAATTTGACTTTAGGTCTTTTTTGAAACTCGTAGTCGAGAAGCAAGGCAATATTAAATCTACCCACAGACTCAAATTGATCATGATGAAGACATATCGACCTTCACAAGTCTGTTTTCTCCAATTCGGCTTTATGCGTGGCACAAATATGCTACCGGCCTCCTACCCATTCTCTACGTTGAAACTTCTTCAGGAGTGGTTCCAGTGGCTATTTTGTACCTGACGCCTGTATTAGTGAATAGCTATGTCGAATGTGCGCCTCCAGCGGGAGCAACTATAAATCCCGATGTTGCTTGCCTCACCAACAGCTAAGCACAGTGGTGGGCATTCACCTGATTGGCTAACTTCAAGGCTAAATCCATCTCGTTCCACCTGTATTTTAGCTTAATAAAGAAAACTCCAAAAAGTAGCTTTGTGACACCTTAATGACTTAAACCAAGAGCCCAGCTTGTAATTACCGAATCAGTACTACTATTGGGGTACGCGATGAATGCCTCCTCTTCTCGTATTTTTTTTTTCATTCTGAGAACGGTAAATTCCAGTAACTAGGTCCGCATTTCCAACAGTTCAAACATCCAACCGCCAAGCGCAGTGAGGCATAATGGGTATCGCTTGCCTTCCTGTCTAACTGTCACTGCTTCCCCTATGAGGAGGAATCAACACCTTTTTCTTGATAGAAGAGGAAAAAAAGCAAAACGGTTTTGGGACAGTTAGCTGGTTCCTATTGGCGAACTCCTGCGGTATCGGGTAACTAGGCCTGACACCTAGATGGATTGGAAAAGAGAAGTTATAGCCTAAAAATACTTTTACAGACTATTTTAACTCGATGGGCTCGACAGTTGGCTTTTTCATCCGGACTACCTGAGTACCGTACAGACTTAATGAGAAAGCTTATGGGAATACTTAACCTGTGGACGATAGTCCAGATGTCCGGTCCAAGTTAAAGTATGTGCTTTGACTGCGTTGAGTCACCTCAAGTCAAGTAGGGGGTCAGGGATGCTGGCTTGATAGGTCGTGTGCGTCGCCCATTCAGCACATCCTGTGCTCTGGAAAAACTATAATCATGTGATATGCATACCAGACTAGCAAACAAAAGCCAGACAGAGAAGTAGACAGGCCCACCGTGTACTTGCGTGTGTGTATGTAAGTGACGCTGGGGTGGATTGTTTGGTGTCCGATGTACCCAGGTGAATGTGAATGGGACAAACCGCAAAGGGAATAGTTTCCTTTAGGTTAAGCGCAAAGGGTTTTAATTGAATTCAGAATAGAGTAAAAAAGTAAAAATTGGTGTATTAATTTTGCTTTGTACAAACCTTTCTCTTAAAAACCACAAGAAAATATGCAGCACAAGCAATAAACTCCCAGTGGCCTTCGAATTGCATTTTTAATAATAAATAACTTTATTAGAACAAAATAGCAGAACACCAGCAAACGGAAAACGCATAAGATGCGAAGATACCCCAAATTGGGGGTATTTTAGGTCCTTTTAATCGATTAAGCGGCGCGTAAATCGTGCGGCTTCAAGTGTCCAATTGAGGAGGGTCGGAGTTGTCGGTCTCCTTTCCCTCCATCCTCCTTCTAACAAAATAACAAGAAGTTGTAGGAGACTGGTTTTTACTTAAATTAATGCACAAGTATAGCATATATTTACATCCCAGTGTTTTCGAGTGTATTTAGGGGTTTACTGACCGCAAAGAAGTTAAATTTTTCATCCGGAATTACCATCGATAAAAGCAACAAGTCTTTTGCCACTTTGATAGTGGAGACCCCTTCTAAAGAAATCACCTCCGCAAATTAGAAGCAGTCTTTATTAGTTCCATTCTGAGACGTTAGTGGTCTTTTTTACAGATCTTTTTGCATTTCACTTTTGCCTTTTGGTGCTTTGACCATCCTCTCCTCTGCGCGAGATTATAGCCAGTATTTACAGTAAATCGCCTTCTTGCCTCTAACTAGCCCATAACTCAGGTCCACCCATGGCTAGTTTTCCAGACGCAAGGAAAAAGTCACGGATTTAGTTTGTTCGCAGTTTCCTGTCTGGAAGCCGCATCTCAAATGTCATTTCACGAGTCCCCAGTCCTACAGCCTACAACACGGGAGTATCGCCTGAATCCACGAATGGTCGAATTGAGGGACAGGGCGTACTCCAAACGCAATTCCCACACCGTTAACTTTGTTACCAGGGCAAAATTCCAAGAGCAAGCTCATCTTAAACCGGAACAAGTGGTCAGTAGCTTTCCTCCCCTAGTCAGCAGTCCCAGCCTATGCTTGGCTAGGCGCAGTTTGACGTCCACTTTCGTGTCCGCCTTTTTATAGCACCGATATTTCGAAACAAGGGGAGGTGGGGGTGGGTGGGAATGTCCCGACAATTCTTGTCCGGGTACTTTACTTACACGAATTGTCGCGACCTCGGGACTTCAAAGCAGCGCTCCCCAAAATAATGATAAATAAACGCAGCTTCATTGGATTATTTGGGTGGGGACCGGAAGTCCCTCATGCCCGCTGGTTCTATGCGAAAATCTACCGTCCACAAGAAAGCAGCTGAAAAAAAGCATTCCAGGGAGCGTTGCATCCGTGTCTGATATTTCTGGGTGCGGTATTTCCTGCTCAAGTCTACTAAGTTGGATGGAATGCTCTTGCGGCGGTTTGCTACAATTTTGTTGTCTTTAAACTACCGTGCTTGCTGGGCCTAATCTTATCCCATCTGTTTCATGCAAAGCTTCCACAATAGTTGCCAAATTATAATTTTTAACTTCCTCTTAAGATCCCCATTTTCTCCTCTTAAATTTATCATCCATTAAAGCCTTTTAGGAAAAGGCAAAAATAAAGGAGGTGAAAAGACTTGGGGGCTATTTTCAAACAATCGCAAGTCATTTTGCCCTCCAACAAATGGACCACTTTGTTTGAGCAACAAAATAGGGGCAATGGGTGGGCTATTTGCAAGTCCTGGTAGTGGATTCAATAGAAATACAGAAGAGAAATTGCACAGCCATTCGTGAAGACGAATTTTACTGAAACCTGTACCGCCCGAATTAAAGCTGGGCGGTGACATCCGACAGTACTTGAGCACCTCCACTTGGCCCTACCCCTTTCCAAGGATCTTAAGCTGGGGCAAAACCTAAGCCTAATTATTATGGTTGTTATAGACTGGTAAAACGAAGTGAATGTCCCGTCAGCAAGGTGTTACTTCAATCGCCTTTTTTGAGTAAGGAAATAAATCACGCAGTTTGCTTTCGCGTAGGTTTTACACAAGAGCCATGTGAAGTACTGACAGAAGGACTAGCTACTACAAATTCATTGCGATCGTTAAATCTGTCCAAAGAAGCTTTTTAAAACTCAATAGCAGATAAATTGTGGCTAATAATTAGTGAATGCCGTGCTTCCTAGTGGTCGTTGAATGGAGGAACTCAAGTTCCGAGTTTTATATCATCAAGCCTAACTCGGCAAACTGAAAAAAGGGAAACAAAACAATTTTGCTTCTTAAACGCTTTTTTTCCTTCATGACTAATTTAAAAATTAATTAAATAAGCTAGGAGTGTACCCATATGGTGGTGGCAAGTACTTAAATCATTTAAGTAGGCAACCAGAGTAACCCAGAACAAAAAATTTGTTATAACTATTTGAATAAATGGAATGTGATAGTCAGAACTCGAATTAGTAATGCAAGCGGTAATTTATTGTCTGAATTGCCAAATTAAACTGATCACCAAAATCAACCCCAAAATCGACAGATGATTCGCCTCAGGAGGGATTGGTAGCAATTTACAGGCCTCACATTTAATTTTGTTCGGATTTTCTGCCAACAAAATGTCTCTCCACTACCTTTAACGCAAAAAAGAACAACTAACGCTAGTGTTTTACAAGTGGACGAAAAAGTTACCTCATGTTTCCCCTTGCACCTAAAAATGGCATCAAACTGTTCTGATTTATGAGAATTTTTCTGTGCACACCACACGCGTTGGGTTACGAACATACGCACTAACACACGCACACACACACACACACACACACTTACCGAAACACCACTTTTAAAGGAGATTGTAAATTATGGTGCTCTTACTGACCTGGGAAAACGATGGGATAGTGCTTTGGGAACTACCCTTTTTCAGATAGTATCGAAATACACTCAAATTCGTTTGACAATTTGAATGAAGGCCAAAACGGTAAAGGTGAAATACATCCTTCAAAATTATTACCCCTTTTTTATCATGTCAGTTCGTTGATACACCTTTACATTTGGCACATTCGAGGTAAAGTAATAAAGCACTTGCAGAATTTACGTGAAAAGGAAAATATCACGGTGTGAATAAAATTTCAAAAAGCTTATTTTTTAAGAGTCAATAAGTAGAAGTTAGAATAAATTACAAGTTGAGGTCATGTAACCCTTAGGCAGCAAAATTTCCCCATCTTTGAGAGATCAAAGTGGTAACTAAATTGGTAACTACAGTAAGCGGGGGTGTCGTTGGCTGTCTTCACACCTTGAATATGGTTAAACGGTAGAAATGCAATTTTTATCAGTTAAACTTCTTTTTAAGCATTATTCACCTTAAAATAATCCACAAGGATGACATTCTGTCGAAAAACGCTATCGATTTTTCAGTGTCCAGCATTTGCACTGGTTATCGATTTTCCTCACTGAGTACATCTAAGAGCCAATTTCTGCGTGCCACGCCTGGATTGATTATCGATTTTTGTGTTTCACTGGCTACTTTTATTTCACTGCAGATCCAGCAGATCCTTCACAGGCAGAATTAACCTCAATCACAAAAGGTGAAGGTGGTATACGCCTCTACAATTTTGTGCAGCAGCGTAGAGGCATGGTGGGGGCGAGGGTTTGATAAAGCCCTCCGCTCCCAAGCTTTTCGTGTACCGAAGTAGGGCCGGTAGCGAACCCACACCCCCATGGAATGAAGAACTGCGTACACTAAGCTTGGGATAAAATTTTGGCCAGTAAGTTTAGTGGGAAGCCACTTATCCTACTAGTATCTGATGAAAAAGAAGGGAAATAAAAAAATTTGATCGTGTCAAGGCTAAAGTCAGCCATGTTCAAAACAAAATTGGCAGATTTTGAAGTCGCCAGGATATGATTCTATTTACCTGGTAAAGCTAATGTGTTCCAATACCTAGCTTTCTCTCTTGAAAGGGAACATCATTCTGGATAACACAATACCGGTTGTTTCTTTGGTAATTGGATTGCGAATCTTACTTATGAATGCGATCAACACGGGATTTTGCATGAACTAAAGGTCGTGAAATTTGTTTTGGAAACTACCTGTGACTTATTCCTGACTTTTTCCACCCGGCATGTTGGTTGGACGGTGTGGAGATAATTGACTTTGTTGTGAGACCGATCGGGCCTTATCATCTGTTCTAAACAATTTTACGGTTGATTGAGCAGTTTGGGTTTTGGGATTCAACTGGAGGCATTCAGTTGTGTTGGTCCCCCCACACTACTAGTCTCCCACTTTTCCCGCACGCTACAATTAAGCATGCTTGCAGATAGGCATGCTCTGTAGCATCAAAATTGAGTGTTATCAAAGCATTATAAATAAAAGTACAACGTCACTTTGGAAGAACACGACCAGGAAATGATTCCAACTGCAGGAAGAACGTAGTGCTGATCACTGTTAAGTAATCATACGGGCTACGACGAACAGCAAAATATTTAAAGATAGAACTAACAAAAGAGAAATGAACGACCACCATGAGTACATCATGCTTAAAACAGGATACCATAGCGACGTGATGTTCTCATTAACTCTATGTTTAACCACGCGGACATTATAGTCTGTTCAGGTCATGCTAGTAGCCTCTCAGCCATTCTACACGTTGGTGATGCGTACCCTTTTGTACTATCTTGTCGTATTGTGAATTCGGCAAGGGTAGAGGTGCCACAACACAACAGTATGGGCAAAAAACAAATATTAGGTTGGTACAAGGTTTCTAACTTCCATTACCTTCTGCGGCTGGCCACATAAACCCAAATTGCTTCATATTTTGAGGTAAAAAGAGCGTTTGCCTTACACATTTTTTAGTTATATATATACGCTTAGGATTATAAACTTGAACCATTCGGGTGCGCTTATAACTGAGTCCTTGTTGAGTCAGCCATGTAGGAATTGCAAATTGGTGCATTTATGTACATAACAAATAATGTAACGCTGGAGACCAGATACAGCAATTTGATACATTGTGTAGCGATGTGTTGAATTACATGTGCAATACGATAGTGGTTTATCCCTCGGTTCTGGTGAGGCGCGACTTTTGTACTTCGAATTAGCCCCCTTGTACCTCGCTGGGTGGGCTGGCCTTTTGGGCCATGCCAATAGCCCAGACACCTTCTCCGTGCTGAATATATATATATATATATTCTGCCCGAGTATTTTGTCTTCTTTCGTCTTCAGGGAGTCTCGGGACGCTACACATGGGCACATGAATGCCTGGAGGTTGTGCTTTCAATTAACAACATAACTTTCGAGCCACACAGATAGCCTCTAAGGTCCTCCATGCATTGCTGATATAGGCTCTGCCATTCTGCTTTGGTTTATTTAGACTTTACAGGGGCAATACCTTTATTATTTAGAGCATAGCAGCTTGATGATTTGTAAGACTTTTCTATACTGAACAGACGTATACAACTTGGTGCATTTGCAGACAAGTGCATGTAACTGACTAAGTAATATGCATTCCTGCAGAAGATTTTAGCCTCCCCTCACTGCCTACAAAAGGCAGTGTATATAAGTGCAGTTCGTAATGGGATCAATGGATGTGATGGAACTTGCAATCATCCAGTTAGGCATCGAAAGGAAGTAAAAGTATTTTGTTTAACTAAGCCAACCCTTTGATTGCATTTTTTGCGCTGTGTTCACTTTTAATTGTAGAATGTGAAGTTTGTTTGAATCAGTTAGACTTTTAGCCGCAGAGCCGAATTCATTACAATTGAGGATTTTATGATGGAGCTAAATCAGACATGTTTTCACTCGTGCGATCTGAAGGAAGAATTCAAGGGCAAATCTGCTTTGCCACATATCCAAATGTACGTACTCGACTTGCTTCACTGTAATCCCATTAGATTAAGCCTTACCGGTTTTAAACCAGAAGATTTCAAAACCATCAACGGACAGTATAATTCTCTCGCCTGTTATGGGGAGGTTCGAGTGGCATACTGCATCACACGGTTCTTTCCCCTCACTATGCATCGATTTGGACCTTGGAGCGTAATCCGCCCCACGAGGGACAATTACTCAGATCCTGTGCTTTTCAACGAAAACTTCGAAATACCCTTAGCCTACTGCTACCTCTACGACTTCTATGGAATCAGTTTTGTGCTTTGTTCTACCTACACCGACAGCAACGGTGTGCACGATCAATATTTAGGTGGGTGTTACCTCCGGCTCTACAACTCGAAGAAGTGGGTTTCTTTACTTGTCTTTGACGAGATCTCGCAGGGTGTTTCGTAGTGGCGTGTATGAGTTAGAATTGCATTTGCTAAAGAATTACAAGCTAAAGAGTTTGGATGATGTTGTGGAATGCATAGTAGACCACGAGATGGACGGGAAACCGAGAGGTTTGAAGGAGCTGAACCACCTGCTTAAGGTGAGGCGGAAACAAATCCGCGGTGAGCTTGTTGCGACCCCGTTGGACCAGAAGACTCTCTCTGTTGTGGAGCCTCGGATTGAGGAGCTGAAACGCGGCAGCGGTAAGATGTTTCTCCGCGTGAAGTTTGAATTCTCGCGGTCTTATCCTTCGCTCTACGTGCCGGTGGTGTTCAAATACCCTGTGAGTGGAGTTTGTGACGCTTGAAAAATTTTTGGTTTTACATAGAGCTATCCCTCATTTGCTCCCACTAGGTGATGCCTGGGTTGGATGAGGATGCAAGACCAGAGAAGGTGAGTTGTTTGTGCCGAAAATTTAAACCGCATTTTAGTGGAATCCCCATGACGAAATGTACTTCAAGATGACGCGAAACATTCGCACAGTGGCTGTGGACAGGGAGAGGATACCGAACAAGGAGATGCTAGAAAGGTTGAAGGTAGGCTGACGATGACTGCTTGTTTCTAATGCAACTAAATGTCGCCTTGTGTAGGCTATTATTGAATCGGGTTATGGTGAAGTGCTGTCGGAGAAGGACGGTGATTTGATTTGGCAGTTCCGCTTCTACCTGGCGAATAAATTTCCCGAGGTAATTAGTGTTTAGTCTATCTAAGAATTTGGTTGACGTTTCTTTGAAAGCAAAGCTTTTTGGAGTAGACATGATGAAATATTGGGCAGATTGTCGGTGTTAATATCCTCAAAAGTTTAGTTATATTGTAGTCATTGACCAACTTTATTACGACAAACAAAACCTTCAACGCTACTGGTAGCATTACCAAAACTACTAAAAGTGGTGCCAGCACCATTGGCACCATCCTCATCACCACAAACCATCACCTCCGATATCGATGGTGACGCAGGTGATGTGGGTTTAACATTCAATTCGGTTTAAATATGAATGCGGTAAAAGATGCGCAATCGCATCATAGTCCAGTCATCTGATTAGTTGCTTTTGCTCCCTCTTTTGTACAGACTGCACTAGCTACGTTTCTTCTCTCCGTACGGTGGCAATACCCAGAGCAGGTGAGTCAGGCGGTGGAATTGCTACTCAGCTGGTCGCCTTCCTGTGTCTCACCTGAAGCGGTCCTCGAACTGTTAACCCTCACCTACACCCACCCCGTGTGTCGGCGGTTCGCTATCTCTCGCCTCCAAGAGGCATCCGATGATGTAAGTTTGTTCCCATTTTTTCCTAATCCGATCTCATCCTTCTTTTTTATCCCCCTTCGTCATTGTCTTGTTCTTCGTACACTTGAACGAGGGCAACACATAAGTGAGGTTGCGACTCACACCTGAGATAACCTAATGAAAGGGGTGGCACCTTACACACAGGCCAATTTTTGAATTCATCTTACCATTTGGGTGTATTTTCTGCTTACCTGAACTACGTTTTAAGGTGATTGGAGGAAAAAGTGGATGAATGTGGTAGGGTAGATTGGTGAAGGAGGGCGTGGTATCCGCCGTTGTTTCTGCCTTCTATCCTATGTGATTGTACCACAAGCGTAATTCCAATATCTCTGCTTAGGATATTGAGCTCTACTTGTACCAGTTGGTGCAGGCTCTGCGCTACGAAAATCACGAGGAGATTCTTCGTTCCTCAAAGATCCCCACTCTCGGTGTGGACAGTGAAGACCAAAAGGAAAAGGAAGGCGTAGCGTTGAAGAAGACAGAGGGAAAGGCTGATGAACCGAGCTCAGTGAGATCACGACCTCGATCGAAACGGCCTGCCCTTGGGCCTGATGACATTCCATGGAAGGTGGGTTGTTTTTCAGTCTAAGTTTCTTGAGTCCTTTTTTTTCAAGTGATTTCATATCTATTTGCTCGGACTTCCTTTGACTCAGCACCACTTTCTGTCTGTTCATTGAGTCCCTTAAAGGGATCTACTAGGTGCAGAGGGTGTTAGGCGGCAGAGAGTGTGGATGTGTGCAAACACCTGCTTTAGGCACACCTAAGTTCATTTGCCCTGAAGATGTATGAGGCTGACGAAGGATTGTTCTAACATTGAACGAATCATCCCTCTAGGCGAAGGCGGCCCTAGACCTGGGGCTATCAGGTGCTGCTCCTTGAAAGGGGTAGCACTCTACTGGTCGGTGGGTCGATGCTAGTCAAGTTGGTGTCATTTAGCTTCCAGGTTACAAAGGAACTAAAATACAGTGGAATCTAATGATGAAATCGAGCTTGGAGCGTAACACTGCGGGATTTTTAATATGTAAATATTGTGTCCAAAGGAGCAAATCAGAAAGACCACAATGTGCTTTTGAAGTAATGCTTGTGTTTGGAGAAACGTTCAACCAGTTTCACTGTTGTTAAATTGCATCATAAATGATGAGAAGGGTGAGTTCCCACTGATTTGGGCGTCTTGAGACTGACATAGCAGGTGGGGTTATCGGCCTGGGATGAATAGAGCATCGAAACCACTTCGTCCACTTTATTGAACAGAGGGTGAGGGGAGTATCGAATCACACCCAATATTTGTTGGAAAAGTATGTGAAGAGCACGTGGAATCCTCCATGTTGAATGAAATGCCAGTGTAGAGTAACCGATGTGAATTGCGAGATGTAGAGCTGCCACAATGAAAAAGATTAAACATGGAATTGTTTTGTGGAAAGCGAAGTTAGAGACTAAAGAAACGCTGGACATGGCCGTGGGGCCGCTCGAGCGAGTTTTGAGGTGGAGTCACCTCGGTTGGCATGAAAGTACTGTTTAACGAAAAGCATTTTCTTGAATGGTTGCCGTGGTGGTAGGAAAGTTGTAACGCTGAAAGTTCAATATTGGGGAAAATGGCGTAAATTGTTTTATACTGTATCAAAAATGATATCAGAAAGTGAGATGCTGTACATTGAATAGCTCAACAATTTCTCTCCTTTGCATTTGGGTGACAGACCGACCTGGCGACATTCCTCATCCAACGTGGCCGCGGTAAATTCCGACTGGCTAACTACCTCTATTGGTTCCTCCATCTGGAAGCCCATGAAGACACCCCCTCTACTTCTGAGGTCAAAGCCATGTTCAGCCACGTGCTCAAACGGTTCATGGCCGCCCTGGAATGCGTGAGTTGGCTGTCTTGTCGGTTTGACGAATGCGATCTACCATTGTTACTGGCCAGCTGGAGACAGGCTTAAAGTCCGTTATTTACTAATTTTTTAATTCTGGTGTTGGTAGCATGGAGAAACTCTGAATCTTATCTCTTGCTGTAGTTTGACACGTTTGCTTTTTTGTTTGATCTGGTCTCAACAGGGCTCCGAGGAGCACAGGTCCTGGCACTCGGATCTGCTGAACCAAACAAAGTTCGTGAATGGACTCTATGAACTGGTGAAGAGGGTGCATGAGGACGCCTCGAAACGGATAAGAAAGGTGAGTGGAAATATTTACGAAGACTAAGTGTGAGATGTCTCTTTTTTTGTAGTAGCCCATAGTGACATTTGCCCAGGGCGAAAGTTACTTTAGTAAAGCCAAAAAACATGGCCCAACGTCTGGGATATTTGACGTAATTTCACTTCTACTTGTTGATGCTATCCAACCAATTGTCCGATCTTGACAAAGTGATGTGAATGATATTTGTGAGCTTAATGTAGTCAGTGCCTTTGAAAGACCATTTGCACTTGGTGGACGAAGGCTACAATTCTTTACTCATGATTGTGCAAGTAACGTAGGATTGGGTAGTCGCTGACAAGTAAATGCACTGCCGTGTCTCCACAGCTCCAGCCTTTTGGTGAGGTTTCTTGTTAGGTAATGCGTCAATTCATTTAGATGCAAGCCTCCTTTGAAGCATGAGTCGTATTCTTTGCAAGAAGTAGAAATTGTTGGGCATATTAGAGTGGACTACTGTAAAATAATTTGACGAATTGCCTCTGGGGACTGCGAGGCTGATAGCATCGGGGGCGTGAGTGGAGCTCCGTGTTACCGCTTTGGGGGTGGGGGTATAGAAAAGGGAGGAAAGGGTTGAATCGTGCTGTTAAAAAGATTCAAGTAATGCCATAGTCACTTAAAAGTGTCATTTTACTGTATCTACGAACCGACTATTCAAGTATGGTACCCACTTCCAGCTTCCGAACTCTCAAAGTGTTGGAAATGGGGTCTGTTGTACACGAATTATACGATAACCCCATAACTTAGCGTGGACTTTGTAATGAGATTTGAAAATAAAGGTTACTACTTCAGCTAGTAAAGAAACCTTATTTAGTAATAAACATTTCTAACATATTAGTTGATTGATTGGTCATAGATGTTGGCACAGAAGGAATTGGTCTTGCAAGCACTGGAGTTGTCTCATCGAGTAGGTGGATCCCACCCGTCATTTGCCTGTTATGCATTTTCAATACACGCGAAAGCCATTTTTCTTGGCAACTTAGTCAATATTTCAGCAAACAACATTCAGTACACGGGTGTTTTATCCAGCATTCGTGAAAGAGGTGCTAAGCACGAAGTTGGTGCTCCTTGAAGTTTTTATCTTATTATGTGACGCCTATTCACCTGAGCGCTACCACGACTTTTCCTTCCTGGTAGATGTGGATGTAGGTGATTGGAAACCACATGAACTTTTTCGGTCACTCGATAGTTTTAGGGCTCTGTTTACTTTAACCTAGGTGAATGGAGCCCTGGCATAATCGTATACTACTTGTTTTTTGTCTTAAAATGCATGTGTTGAAGGCATTTAAACTGACTCGTTTATTTCGTATTTCGGTAACTCAGATGGAAATTCTGAAGAACCTCTTGCGAACCGAAGGTGCTTCGTTAACCCAATTTGAGCGACCGCTCCCCTTTCCTGTGGACCCCAACTTTTTGATCGCCACTGTTGACGCTGATTCTGCGACGCTCTTTAAGGTAAGTACGAGCAGCGGCAGCTCTACTCACTTTTGCACCTCATGTGGAGAGAGTGTCTTTCCAAGTGGGGAGTTTGTAAGATGCTTTCGAATGTCGTTTTTTCACACTTGTCATTGTGGTAAGATGGTCTTAACGGCGAGTGTGGCCTTAGAAATGATCCTCTGTGCAGTATACATGGAAGTATTTGTCCATGGGTGGTATATGCAGCCAGGTCTCGGCACATACATGGCATATCGCCATCTTCTATACTTTTATCCCATCGGTCAGAGCTGCTATGGATTAATGGGACTGACTTATGAGATGTTGTCATGGGTGAGTGGAGGGGTGGATGGTGAATACATTTTTGAGGAGTATATTCTATAGGGCTCAAGTTAATACTGTAGATATGATGAGCCATCTCGTCTGAGACTCACTCGCCCACGTGGACGGAGCGGTAGTACGAGCGCAAATTCGTGTTGGTGGTAACCAACGCTCGAGACGAGTGAAGGTGTGGGTTGGAAAGGCAGTAAAGACTTGGCCTCATAGGGGTGGTCTCACACAGCTGCAGATGAGTTCTTCAAGCGTTTTTCGTTTCGTTGAACAGGATGGAGCATAGTTTCCTGCGCACCCTAGCCCTCTCCGTAGGAAGTGAGATTCAGTTTGCTTTCAAGCGTAGTGGAGGCCTTTAGGGATGTAGTATGAGTGGTGTTAACAGTCCTCTCTGACCGCAGTGGCGACCAAATCGCGGGAGGTTGAGAATGTTCTCGGTGTCGTGAAGACGCCTCATTACATTGTTTAGCGTGCTGCAGAGTTTGAGGTAAGGGTAGTCATTGAAAGCTGCTGCAGTTACTTTGTGAATCCACTGTTGCGACTGTCTACGAGAAGTGGCTTTCCTCCGCAGTAATAAGCTGAACCACTTAGCCACAAACCTTCTTTGAAGCACCAACGAGTGTTTTCGCATTCTTCTCAAGGGGCAAAAGATGTCGAACGTATTGCATCTTGCTGCCAACAAAAGAGTGTCTTTGTTATGATCGTGCAGAAGGATTGAAGAACAATCTAGAACTTGCCTTATAACAAGCACGCATAAAGTTTGTAGAATTTGTAGCTTTGGTGACATGATGGCAGCCCTACGCCACCAATATGATGACCGAATTGTGGGATTGTGAATGATATGACTCAGAGAGTCATTCACTGTCAAAATTGTTAATTATTCGTTTAAACCGTACCCGTATTACCCCTTGTAGAGCACCACGCAACCCGCCTCGCTAAGCCTAGTGTCTCCGGAGGGCCAACTCTACCGAGTGATCTTCAAAATCGGTGACGATTTGCGACAGGATCAAGTGGTTCTGCAGATGATTCGTCTCATGGATGTGGTAGATGACACATTACTTTTCCTGTTGCTTCTCTTGTTCTCTCGACTGAAAGAAGGTGACTGATTTCTTGAACTCGTGTTTTTCCCATTCCCAGGTCTTGAAGAAGGAGATGTTTGACCTTCATCTGACGCCCTACATTGTGCTTGCTGCCACTTGTCGTCATGGTATGTCGATCGATAAGTAAATGTATGAAATAAGTATTTGCGAACATTGGAGTTGAATATGCTTAACTCTTTTTGGGAAGAGTCTTTATCTTTTCATTGTTGACGATTAATCCATCAAGTTGGAATCATCCCGTCAAACTTATTTCCTCCCCTTTAAGATGATTTTCCCCATTTCGACGAAGTGGTATTCGATCGTTGTCGTGGATTGTTTAAAATATCGCCGTGGAAACGTCTTTTAAAGGGCAACGAATTTCCACGGAATTTTTGTTGTTGGCTGGCTTGTCGATGTTCCTTTCTCTCGCTGTAACACATTTCTTTCAGTGGTCGGAATTTGTTGAAGTAACATTTATAGAGCTCTTAACCAGCACTGTCCAAGGTGATAATCATTAGCTTGAGCTGGGATGCATCTCAATCCTTAAAATGCAGACTTTCGGAACCATTTGTGAAAGGTTATCTAGTCTTGCACTGCGGTACACTTCCAAAAGTATAGGGGTCATTACATTAGTTGGGATGACAACTGTCCTCAGAAAGTTGGGATATTAATGGGAGGTTAGAATTTTTTCATCAAAATGATCTCAAGAAGGGACTCTTCTATCTCCGGGAAATGTGCTTTGCAATGGTCCATGTGTCAACCTTATGAAAGTAAGGGTGGATTCCTGAATGACTGATGTGGATGGTTAGTGTTAACTCCACCCAACCGCGTCAAGTTTGTTTTTATTCAAACTAACCAACAAATCCATCTGTTTACCGCTTATCATAGACTGAAACAGAAGATATGTCGTGGGCATGTAGCTCTAGTCGCGAAAGTGTTATTTCAGATTCCGTCTTTTTGTGATTGCAAAGAAGCTAGCCAACAAATGTTCCTTTTCAGGTTTCATCCAATTTGTGAAGGGTGTTCGGCTGTCCGACGTGAATAGGGAGGAGGGCTGTATTTTGAAGTACCTTCAACAGCGGGCTCCGAGTGCTAAGGACCCTCTGGGTCTTCAACCGAAGGTTCTCGAGACGTACATCCGGTCGTGTGGTGAGTCCAAACTGCCTATTTACTTCCGAAGTAATCATTTCTATTTATCCATCCACCTACTCATCAAGGGGCTTCTGGTACAGATGCCTCTTATGGGTCTTCTAACTCCACCTAGCGTTGATTACCGACCTATAACTGCTTGAGCTACAGTATGTGTTTCTTCCTTCTCACTCTTCCCACCGAGATACTCTGTGAGAAGGCACGTTTAATCCAAAATCCATCCAAAATAGTCTTACTACGCCTTGTTAGAATTAATTGTAAGACCGCGAGACTAAGGAATGCGTTTCTTTTTCCGTCCTCTTATTTGCCAGGTGGCCACTGCCCCAAGAGCAGTAGAGATATCCCACAAGAGTATTCAATGCCTTTTTAGCAATGGTTGATGTGTAGGAAATTTTGAAGTGTGTATATCATTGTCTCATTCCTTTCTCCTTGATTTGGGAATTAAGCGGGCTACTGTGTGATGACGTACCTGCTGGGAGTGGGCGATCGGCACATGGATAACATAATGCTTACGCCCGAGGGTCAGCTTTTCCACATCGACTTCAGCTTCATTCTCGGTTACGACCCCAAGCTCATGGCGCCCGAGGTGCGACTGACAAAGGATATGATTGAGGCCATGGGGGGAGCGAAGACGCCGACCTTCAATAATTTTGTCAACATCTGTGTGACTGCCTTCCTTTCTCTGCGCAGGTCAGTCATCATATGTTGTTCTACTTTGGTGGGCAAACTAAGTGGAACCCTGCTTCTCAAACAGCTGCTTGCCTTTTAGAGATGGCAGTTTTCTGTTATTGATGGTAGGCATTACCAAGATGTTTTCATTTTGGTAGGCCTCTGAGAGACACCTCAAATGCAGTAGTTGGAGAGATTGAAGTTAGGGTATTTGGAGGACCGAATCCTAACCATAACACGGTAGTAACACTATTCAACTATCCACTTCTGGTAGGTGTAAGATTGCTGGGAAATGAGAGAGCCCTCCTGAAATTCGTAAAGCCTCCCATGAGCGAATCTCTCAATTGAAGGCTGAACAATGCTCCCCCGTATCCTTTATGACCCAACCAGGACCAGTATGTTTAATTGTTCTTCAACGACACTCTAAGCACAAGTAGCTTGATGAATGTTAATCGGAAGAACTGGAGGACCGCACATGTTTAACGAAAGTTAAGCCATTAACAGATGGGTCTTCAGTGCTTGGATGTAGGCATATGCTTTGAGCCTGAGATGGAGCACTACTCTGTTTAGTAGACTTTCCGTTGCCAATTTTTCTTTATTATTGCTTCTGCCTCTATTATTGGGGGCGCTGGCGTCGCTACCATTGCCGTTATTATTGTTACTTTGTGAGATAAGGATTGTTTGCCTGACTGGCAGTTTTTCGCCTATCCTGGTATAATTACTGAATCATAAGGACAGAGTCAAGGGAATTAAACACGATTTCCCACTTAGATTGTTTTTCTGCCTCGTGCTCGCTCTACCGTGCCTTGCTTTTGATTCAGTGGCAGTAAGTTACTGCCCTAAAGCATAGGGTTTTACAAGTAGGAGTAAACGGTTGGAGGAGTGGCATAGCCACTGAAAGTGAGCTACAAAAGCTAAGGCGATAGGCAGGGATGCAGTAAAAGTAAGTGACTTTGTTTCGACTCTCCCTCCTCAGGCACGCCAATCTCTTTCTGACGATGTTATCCTTGGTGCAAGACGCGGGTATAAAGGATATTGCGCGGGATCCGATGAAGGCGCGTGATTTTGTGAAGGAGCGCTTCTGCCTCGATGAGACGGAAGAAAGGGCGGCCCATCGATTTGCTAGTCGTATCTTTGACTCTATCAAAGCGATTGTGCCGGAGGTGATGGAGAGGATCCACACTGTTATGCAGGTAGGTTGGCTCTATGTGTTTGTCAAATTGGTAATGCTTGCTATTTGTGAATACCACCGTCACTGATGCTACCGTCGGCACCGATACCTTTGACACCACAGCGACTACCAGAAACTTTGACGCTTCCATCACCATCGACTACATTGCCTCCAACGCTGCTTGCAACCTTCAATATCACTGCTGCAACAGCTACCACCAGCACAGCAACCACTGCCACTCTCACTGCTGCCACTACAAACACCATCAGTGCCACTGTTACCGACACTATTGCCAGTACTGCGTTCAACATCACACAGAAGGTTTTTCAGCTAGCCTTGGTCACGAAATCTTTAGGTTGTGGCCTCAAAGCCATTCACTTTGGTTTTCAGCTGATGTGACGCCTTTCTTACCATCTTTGTAGAAATGTCGTCGTGTACTGAAGGAGTGGAATTAAGGCTTGTATTGTTGCTTATTTGTTTGTCGGATTTTGCTCTCAAATCACCTTACTTATTCTCTCTACCATAAGTTCCCTTGAAGATAAATAAAAGCGAGAAATTAGTGGCTATATTGAGGAGACAATGTTTTGTCGGAATTTGCATTCGTGTGGATGAGGCCGAATCCTTCTTTTCCCCCTTTTAGTATATGCGTAACTGATGCTCTCGTGACCACCCGACTTTGCCTGTTTGTGGTGTCACGTTTAAGATCTCCGCATCTGGTTTAAGTGGTCGTGTCTGTGTAGATGTGCTGTAGATACTTGTCCCCAGAGCATTGTACTCGTAATAATAATCATTCTCCTGACCTGGCCATCGAGACCGCAAGATGCACTAGAATTAATATTTTTCTATCTGTATTTTGGCAACTGTGACTAAATAAATTCTTTTCTGTTTAAAAGAATTCTCATTTGTTTAATTAATGCTGTGAAAAGATTTGAAGGAGGAACAAGGGGGCTCTTGTTGGTACTTTGTTGGAATTGCTTAAATGGTTGGTGCGAAAACCTAGTTTTAATAAAAATGCGGGGTATTTCAAAATAATTTAGGTATTAATGATTGTTAATGAGATAGTACAAGGAGGGTGAATGGAACTGTAAGGTTTTTTGTGGTGGAAATGAAATAGGCGGTTACAATTAGCAACCTTTTCTCAAAAGGTCAACCTTGTGGAATTGGCTTTGTAGCACGTGGTGACCCCGGAGACAAACAGCCTGTCTCTAGCCTTTGTTACATCCATTCCCACACCCCCTTCATTTCCTAGCTGTCCCTTCTACCTAGCGTGGGCATGTCTAGCTGTCAAGCATGGCTATCTGACATGCGATTTACCAGTGTGTTAATGCCAGGACGAAATGAAAGCTATCACTTTGAGAAGTGGCTTCTAGGCGAAGGGGAGAAGTGATGGTTTGAGTGCGACCCTTTCACCTGTAAAATGCCAAAGTAGAAGTTTCCCCAAGGCGTGCTGTCATCTGTTAGTCGATGACGTGAAACCCGTTGGCTTAGTGGCTTCCATGAAATTCCCTTCCCGATTGACGTAGGGTTGTGTGAGTTGTTTATCACTCGCATTAAACATTGTTGAGATTTGTCCTTGACACGTTAATCTCGGGTTGATGTCAGCAGCGTCACGCGGTTTGTCGATTCGCTGAAGAATAGAGGGTCGTCACCAAGGTGACATGTTGATCGCTGAGTAATTCACCACCAAAGTAATTACGGCTCTAAACCAAACGGTCGACCGAATCATGCAAATGTAGGAAATTCCTTTTAAAATGAAAACAGCCTGCTTCCATTCGATATGATTTACTTGCCACCCCATTTTCTGAAGCTGGAAAGGAGAAATTTTGATTAACACTAAGCAATGGCATTTGAATAAAATCTTTTGTTGTGGAATTATCGGTGGTGAATTTTTAGTTGTCAAAAGGGGAATGTTTGATTCCTGAAGGCCCCCTTATTATTAGGGTGGAAAACAATTTTTATGAAAGAGTTTGCAACAGTGAGGAGCAACAGAGAATTGCAAGGATAGGTATAAAACATATTTACAGTTGCTCTACCTGAGGTTGACAATCTGTGCCTCGATTGCCATCTTTGCAAATAAATTTCTGAAAGAGAACTGATTGATTCACACACCCAAGAACCTCAATGATATGGCATTTTGAAACGGTCTCTTTCATGTCTTTGACGATCTTGCCTTTTAACGGCATTCCACCCACAATTACTTTGAGAAATGTGACTTGGGAGAATCAGAAGACCAGATGCGCATGTCGAAAGTTAAGCCATCCGCATCTGGATCGTGGAAGGTGTTGGGTCTTGACGAAAATGGAGGCCATTCCCTCGATCTACACCTTGACGTCCGAATTCAGCACTTGGATATAGACAATTGAGTTCAGCCTGCGCTGCACCATTAACGTCAGATGAAAATTATCCAGGAAGTTACTGCCTTTAATCAACGTTCGTCTCGAAATATTTTTATTCTTCCTTTTAACATTTTGCTTTGTTTACAGTGTTATTGTGATACGCATCCATATGTTGTAGTGTATGCAGAATTACGATTCCTTCCACTTCCAAGTTTTCGGCACATGAAAAGCGTAGAATCCAAGAGGCAGCCGGAATTGATGCGGTAGTCAGGATCCTGGTTTTATTTAAACCTCTACCCAACACTACATGCAAAGCCTTTCAATTAATTTTCTAAGATTTTACAACAGCAAAGAGCAGCAATAAATTTCAGGAAAAGTTTTATAGCCCATCTGTAGTCACTCCTCCACCTGAGCTTGACAGTATGTTCCCTGATCCCGATTTTCACCATTAAACTTGATCTAACTGCGCGTTGAAACACACGGGCCCCTTTTGTTCTGCGGTGTAGCCCATGGGCCAGACTAACAGCCTCCGAGGCCCTCCACACGTTTCGTTTTGCTACTTCGATTCATTCAACTTCGAGGAAGACTCCGTAGAGACTCCGAACAGATGGATTAGAGATGGCGTCTACCTAATGGTAGCTATTCCAATCCCATTTTCTACGAGAACGCTCCTAGCAAGCAAAACACCACCAGACTTGAACCATTTGGAAAGCCCTTTATGGAGCTGCCTGCTGTGATCGTCTCGACTGGCTGCACAAAGGCAGCGGTACGGTAGGCAACGGTGCAGAATGCAGCAACTACACGATGACCGTAGAAATCGTCGCTACCAGCTTAGACTGCAAAAGGAGGTATTTGTGGGAATGTCGCCACTCCAGAAAAACGCTCCTCTTCTTTGCCTCCTCATCGAGGTTATCGTCATTCACCTCGGGCAGCTCCTCATTCTTTTCACTCTGTTATTTTCCCCCCTTAAATAGATCTGTTTATTCCACCTTCTCTTGTCTTATTCGCACCTCATTCCTCCCACAGGCGATCATCAGGGATTTCAGATATTGTACAGCTCGCGCCGATTTCTTCCATTTTTATCTCAAAACAGACCCACTTCTAGGTTGGTTGAATTAAGTAGTTGCTAGAATCCGATAAACTTCACGTCAGATGTTTCTACAGCATCCCCTTCCTTCAGATAATCATCTGTCTGAACTACTTCGTAGCAGTTTCCATTTTGGCGACCTACATATTATTGATGTTAAAAATACATCCCTTGAATGAATAAATAGGAGCACCCTGTTGATTAATCAACAAAATGGCTGGAACGGGTTGACAAGAAATGTGCTCGGACATTTTGTATTGCCCCTAAAATGGATCGCTTAGTGGGTTGTGCGCCTTGCCGCTGTAATCTTATCCGGGGCCATACGACTACTGGGCTCACATACAAACCGACTGAGGTACTATATGGGAGGTCTATTTCAAATCCACCAGAAGTTGCGCGTATCCACTAATTTTCTTGATATTTATCTTTGTACGTAGACTAGCTGCAGATTTCTTACAAGTCAAGACTTTACTGGTCCTATGAAATACTCTGAGCTGCGGCTTGCTGGCTGCCAAATGAGCCTTGGAGAAAGAAAGGTAAATTGCAGGAAAGCACGCAAAGGGGTCCACAAATGCATGAATCAAAATGGAACCCAAACAGCATTGAAGCCAGCAAACTTTACGCAGAGATGGCCTCCTACTTCCAGGAATGCTGAATCAATGTGTACAATAATGCTGGGACAACTCAATTCGATTCTGCCTTTTTACTTTCCTTGGTAAATTACATCTTGACATAAGATGCAAAGCAGCAAAACATGTAGTGAGGAAGAGGGCGGACTCTTCAGAAAAAAAGGAACATTTGAAAAACGGCGGCATAACCGGTGGACTTCAAGTGGCTGATGAGAAGTTCCTTCCAGTGGAGCGCACTCTTCCGGTTAACTCAGCTTCCATTTCGCTCACGCAATTTTGCAGATAGAGTTGAGTTAGGTGCGACCGATGTGAAAAGTGCGTTAACAAATAGCGAATAGGCGGCCCAAGTAGGCCTGCATCAAATGTAAGAAGGGAAGAAATCCTAAGTGGTATTGGGCATCACAAACAACACATCTAATTAACAGCATAATTCACGACTTTACTTTCAAATTGAATTAAATTGGCATTTGCGTGGCGGCAGCAGCAGCAACAGTGGTGACCGTGACCCCACCTCTCCTGCAATCCACTCTCATCTCATCTGCTGGGACCCGGTGCACTTAGTTACAGACTTGGTGCCCTCCGACTCCGCGTGCTTGGCTAATTGTTAAGCAGGAGATGCACAGCCGTCCGGACCTCTCAGCTCCTGATGGTTGGCTTTTCACTGCAATGAGTCAATCGACTGGATTTCACAGCAATACGCTCGAAGGTCGCCATTCACAGAGAAGATGTTCGTGTCCGGATGCACCTAGCACAACACCTTGTAGACGTAGTTGGCGTAGCTCTCCTTACTGCTCCCCCTTTTCACCTTCTCCACCTTTGCCTTGAACGCCATCCTAGTGGCTTCGCATGACACCTCTGTGGGAATCATAATAACTTCAACTCGCCACTGAAATGCAACACAACCCTTTCTGACACCACCATTGCCACACCTACTTATTTTTTTATTTTTCCGTCGCCGTCACTGACAAAATTCGCCTCGCCACTGGTGCGCGAGTGTCAGCCAATCACAATGAGTACAACTGGGTCAGGCATCTTCTTATTGGTCGGAGTATTGCACTGGAACAAGCACTAGCAGAAGTACGATCAAAAAGAGTTACGCTCGGCATTTTCAAATAAACAGCATGGCTTTAGAAAACAAATTAATTAAAATTCATGAGGTGAATTAAACTTTCTGTTTCAGTACAAATTCACGTCCTCGAGACTCGGTTAAGCTCGAATTGGAGGTGGGTTTGGGGTTGAGCCTAGAATCTAATGCTTCAACATTGGATTAAATCAACTGGGCAACTGCCTATAGTGTGGCAGATAATACAAACAGTCCTACAAACAGATCTACATAAACAATTAAGCCAGTTAAAAAATAAAAAGCATTGGTTGTCTCAATAAAAGTGCAATTAATCTTCAGTTATGCATAACGATAAAAGTGACAACACCTAGCGGCGTTTTCAGATAAACAAACGCCTAATTTGAATGTTCACGTCAATCTCAACTTCGCCAAGGAGGACCTTAACACCCAAAGCAATATTAGTTTCAAAAACGTTTATTATAGATCTACTTACGGTAGCCGTACGAAGATAAATAAATTGCCAAAACAAGTGATCATACCTGTGGGAGACAATCGCACAACTCTGGAGTGCTAGAAGGCAATAAAAAAAGCAGATTCTGGGTTCTAGCACCAAGACTGTACTTTGAGATACAACATTTGCTAAATGATTTCGTTGCTAGGCCAATGCACCAGTAATCGACAAATAAGATAACCATACTGCAGGACACCAGTGGATTCACAAGGCTTTTCTCTTCCGCAAATATTTAACGACTGCCTCGCCTAATTAGTAAGTGATTTTTAAATCTGCCACTACTTTATGACTCTGAACCTAGAAGATTCACCGATTGGAATGTCGAGGCTAACGCTCAAATGTACCAGAGAACGACGCGGCACTTGTAATCTCGTAAGCTGCACTTGCACCTGACATTATGGTTGGCAACGCTATTGTCTTCTAGCTCTTCTTGATCCCACTATCCAGTCTCCCATAGTGTCGCAGCCTATCCAAATTGCAGGGAAGACACGGCTTGACTCGACTCGACACCTCACGTCATGTAACAGCCACTTCTGAATTCGAATCCCGAGTACTGCAACCTAACTTCCGAGTTGCGAGTTCTTGTTCTTCAGGGCCAAGCTAACCCCAAACCGACATTTCTTTCTTCAATAATCCTTTCTGCATGTGGATGGACTTTGCATTCCGAATTCTTTAAATAGCCTATCAGAACGGCGACGTTCTCTTTGCGGGTGGAGGTCTCTACCATCGACGCGAACGGATGTGACCGCTGGTTGACTGGCTGCGGACTATCTACTGCCAAGAAGAGGCGGTTGTCGCCTCATCGCACATTAACAGTACTTTGACGGATCTTGGTCTTAACAATGCTTGTTGGGTAGCACAATGGTATATGGAAAGACCATCTGGGCTCCATACTGACCAATTAGTAAGTTTCGTAGGAAATAAGGAAAAATTAGGGGAACCGAATAAGAGAGGCAGCTTCGAGAAGTTGGAGAATAGTACAGCTAGCTTGCCAAGGGTCTTCTCTGCAGCTGTTTCCTACCCACATTGGACAAGGATGCGAAACTTTGGTGGCAATTACTTGAAGGAATAAATACCTGGAGGCGACATTTCTCTTTTTTAATCCTGCCAGAACAGAAAAGGTAATCAAACGAATTTGGTGATGAAAGGTGAAAAGAATACAGCCACTCCACCACCTCACAGTTGACCACATGCACAATCAAGGCCATTCCCGCCTACTTTTAGTCGTTCTACAACAAACACGAATTTTTTCCTCACCACATTCAACTTTGAGGTTGTATTGTAAGGCAAATATACCTGTCTGCAGGGAGCTACCGTATTCCAACATGGCAATCACGCAATCCACGTATCCACCAGTAGCAGCCCGAGGAGCTGCAGTGGTTTTAAAAGCGCCAGTGTCTTGAACAGAAGCCTCGTCATTTGCGCAAAAACCCTTCGTGATGGATTCAATGAGACATATTTTATGATGCTCTGATCGAATTCACTATGATCAGCCCCAGAGGTGGATGAAACGATGCAGTATTGCTAAAAATACTTAGAATGCACTATCTCCAAAAGGCCATGCGTTAGTTCCTCAAAATACCTTAAAGGGTACACCTCACCACTGCAAAACCAGCTTCCACTTCTCTTCCAGCTTAGAGTCATTCAATAAGTTATCCTCTTTTCAAAAAAAGGGTTGAAGAATTCTGCAGAAAACTTGACAGACGATGAAAATGCAACCCGCCCACCTACTAACTACTTACATAAGTTGTGTGCACCAAAAAGAAAACCAAATTAACGACACTTCATCGACTCACGCGAAAACCTAGGCAAGGAACATAACTTTATTCGATAGGTAATTTACTGGATGATTAATAAAAAAAACATTAATTGGAAGAGTGTGAATAGGATGGGGAATTGTACCAAAAAATCTACTTAATTTTGGGAAGGTGTTGGCAGTGGTGTCGTCTGAAGCACCGAGTGGGTGCCTTGCTCTATGCGCGGCAGCGATTATTTCGCTGTAGACTCAACGACGATCCCCGCGTCATTTCGGTGCGACAGATGGACCTGGTGGCGGATCATCTAATGCAGTCGCAGAACGCACACCGTTCAGTCGAGGACATCACTGAACTTCCCCAAAGTCTTGCCGCAACAGTAATTGAGCTAACGCATCTTAGCGCCACCTGCCGGTGTCAGTAGCCGTCGCTTGTAGTGCCTTGCTGCCATTCCCTCCTCGCTCCTCTACCCCTATTCCCTTCGTCAAATTGTGACCATCAGCACTGTTTTACCAGCCTTTGCATCTCTGATTGGAGCCTTTTACGTATTCCCAATTTCTTGCTGCTTTTGTTCAACAAACAGCCCTACTGAGTGACGAGCAATGTGACCGTTTGGAAATGTGAAGCTGTTCCGCTGAAGTGCAAGTAACGTGGAATCGACCCCCAGAGATGCGATTGGTCTGTTGACATTGTACGCTGAGTAAATACCGGCTAAAACTGTTATGAGAATAAGTTTTCCTCTAGGTTTGGTGGGGTGCTACGTGCAAGACGACTCAAGGGTCTTAATTACAGTTTCTACCAGTAAAAAGGGCACCAGCTTTTGTCAATCAAATACGTCCATTAACAAAAGTATTGGTGAAAGCGTGACCAACCAAGTGAGTGCTTTCAATGAGAGCCCAGAAACCTGTCAGGACGATGCCAGTGGTATGGGTGACAGGGACGGTGATTCACCGCCGGTCAGTTCTCAGATACTTCTCTGTTCCTATCACACCGATGGATGCAATACCGAATTGACGCACCCTGGAATAGCCCACTTCACCTCAAACTAAAGGCATCGTCCACATTTCCTCGCCTTATTCTCGATTTGCAAGACCGCCTGGCCCCATCCAAGTCGGAGCCAGGCCACACCGATGGAATGCAACCCATGTCCATCCAGGCTGGAGCTCACCATGATCCTAGTACCCAACGTTAAGCGTACACATCAGTTACTACTTCACTCACATATCTGTAATGTGGTCGGCTCAGAAGTGACACCCACGAATGGTTCCCCACACTCTCCCGAAGGCAATGGGTACATGATAAAGGTCAACATCAGTACACTGAAATAAGGTTATTGAAACAAATAAAAGGCGGAGTAATCATCTCAAGACATAGACTATCGAAATGGACAAACGTTCTAGCGGGCGAGACCTCGTGTTCTCCTTTCATAGGAAACATCTAGACCAAGTGATCAAACGCTCGTATTCGAGCGCAACAGTGGGATGAGCAACAGTAGCGAATGCAGACAGGTTTCATCTCACGCCTCGTGACCGATGAGCAGGAATAGATGCACTCGATACACTTCACATCAAAGTGCTCAACGTACCAAACTGCCTCCACACCACAAACGCGATGACACCGGAAGCAGCGACGCAGCACCTGCAATTGCAACTCCACATCCCGCGGCAACTGCAACTCCAACGCCGGCAGTCTGTAAGATAGTCAAAATACTGTCAAATAACAGCCTCAAGACGCCTTTGACTAAGCAATCAACCCCGAAATCGCTACAGATCAAGACTCTAGAAGCGAGCACCCAACATCACCTGCATTGCATGCATGCTACAACTCCAAATTCTTACCTTAGCCGACAACACACTCCTCCCCATCAACTTATAGACGGTCAGGAGCGAAAACCAACAGCTTCGCCTTCAAAGCAATTGCATGGGTGCACACCAACAATTTCACAACAACCTAGATCTAGAATACCACAACTCACTTGCATACAACCGCCGTAGCATACAGGCTGACAGTGGTCCATTTCTCCTCCAAAACAGGGGCATTACAACACCCGAAATCATGAGTGACGGACCTCTCAAACCATCTCGAAACCACATAGGCTGGAAACTACCAAAGACCTCCCTCAACTAATGATCACAGGGGGCCAAAATATAAGGCCATAGTGTCTAATACTAGTGGCCTAGAACTACACATGAATTGGCATAAGCACCACTCCACAATGGCGACAATCTGCAGGCCACTACTACGTCTACAAACCATTACTGCCATGGTCTCTAAAATCCTACTTCAAAGCCAAAGTGCTCTTATAAACTTTCAACTTAAACATCGTGGACTAAAAGTTCCGTCATTTCACGAGCCTACCCAAGAGGGCAAACAGGTAACAGCACTTCCACTTCAAGTCAACTCAACTGTCATTCGTCATTCTAACTTGTGGCACCAAACCCTACTCCCAACGACGAGCCAGACGCCTCGAATAGCATTCAACTGAATACACCCTAAACCACGTCCCAATCGTTAGATGACATGATTGCCTTACGTCTACATCACTGTCAAGGTAAACGATATTTATCATAACCAACCACTTACAAATGTCCATAATTCTGCAGAAATGCTGCAGACGCAAAGTGGAAGAGACTTTTGGGACTCTCATCACACACCTTCGGAGGGAAAGATGCAATCCACGGATTGTCGGAAAGACTCACTGTCTCCAGCTTCCAAAATTGGGAGATAGCATAGGGTAGGCAGCGCAGTTTATTATTTCTCAATTGAAGATTCCTAAGTTTTTTCAAGCTGTGCAAGTTGGCCGCTGGCAATGCACCTAGGCGATTGTCTAATGCACCAAGAAAGATGTTGAATACGAATGATATGTTACGCACAAACATCGACTCAGAAATATTGGTAGAGATTGCAGTACGCCAATTACCTGTTATAAGCAGACTTTCCAGATTCTCCAGATTCCAAAAGTCCTCCGGGAGCCAAGCAAGCCTGTTCTCCGACAAGTTCAAGTAAAGAAGACTGCTGGCTAAAGCAGAGTCCCTCGAAACACTCGGCCAAGTCTCCATCTCATTTGACTTCAGACAGAGACGGGTCAGACGCAAACACTCCACACTCTTGGGAACTGATGATATTCGGGTCTTCTCCACACTTAGCATGGATAGATTTGCCAATTGCAAAATACGACTATCAAAGCTCTTGAGCTTTATGTTTACTATATGCAGACTCTCAAGGTGAGGTGGAAACGGTTTCCCCAAGGGATAATCTCTCCACTGCTCAATTACAAGTTTGCCGACATCGGGCGCCTGCAAACCTCACATTAATGTAGTGACATACCCTGGAGAGCCCACCACCCAATCCTAACAAGGCCCTTACGTCAACTTTTTGTCCATTCTTCATGTCGCGAAGAAAATGACATAGTTTTTGAGCCAAGTCCGGTCTAACCTAACATGCGGTAACTCAAAAATACCAATGTTCTACCTTGCAAAAGAGGACATCTTGAGCAGGTTCAGCCAAACGAATGGTGAATTTACCCTCGCGCACGAATCTATCATACACTTCGACAATGTTCCCCTTAAGCTAATTTTATTAACAATAGAATTTGAATACCTTAAAACCTAACGTCCATTTGCTCAGCGGACATGATAAAACCATACGGAGAGCCGATCCATAAATAATAACGTCGGTTCTTTTGAATCGCTTGGCCCTTCCATGTAGCGAATTTGACGGATAGCAAATTGTCTCGCAACAAAATAACATCGATGAATTACAGAACACTCGCAGACCGAGCCATAATAATATTTGATTTAGCGGTGCATTCAAACAAAAACAAATAGGTTTGCATTAAATAGTGGCTTCAGAAAAGAATATTTTATTAAAAGAAAACTTTTTCAGCGCGGTGTCTCATGTTTTGATTAGTAGCCCTATTATTCTGATATACACACTTATTTTGTATCGTGGCAGGTAGTGAAAACAGCTATCTTCTCCTTTTTTGTCCTTAGCTGTGTTATTGTTATGAGATATGGTTTAGGTGACAAGCTGTTCCATTGCACCCACCTCGCGGCTTAGCAAAAGTTGTCATTTTTTGCGGCGGATGCAAACATTGATCCTACAAAATCTTGACAACTTGTATCATTCCTATGCTACTATGCAATGCAAGATTCTTTGCTCCAGCCAATCTTCTCTTTCCACAAGCCTGAACCCAAACTGTAGTTTAAGGAAACAACAGCGCTAGCACTGCATCAAAGGCAGCACTGGTAAATCACTGACTTTGACAAATGAAATGATTTGAGCACCCCTAGTCCAACTTTTTTCTTTATCTCAAATGACTGCACACAGAATATGCAGTGTTCATAGTCTCAGAACATTTTTTTCAATCGCCGTGGATGGGAGGCCAAAACAACCTTAAACCCGATAAAAATTTCAACGAATGCTTCAATACGTTGGCCTAGCTCATCATTTGGTAGCGTTAACAGATATTAGCCACAGTGTTTTTCTATAGTGACCAAAGTATATTTGAAATAGTCTGTGAATATGCATGTAATAAAAAAGAACTTGCAAAGAGACAGAGATGCATGTTGTTCAGATAAGGTATAGGATAAGTCCACATATCATTGTAGAGGAAACCCATAGTACGAGACCCATCTCCCTGTCTATCATCACCTCTGGCTACACCTCCAGTTGACAGTAGGTAAGTCGGCTGAGCAGAGAGTTTGATATCCTAGCCTAGCATTTGTATAAGCTATTTTTGCAATAATTTGGGTAATCAGTTAAGCTGCTGTGACTGTAGCTGTGGCTTTGATTGTGCCTATGATTATGGACGTTGACATGGCTACAGGTGAAGCCGAGCACCCTTGCGGCAGTCAGGAAGTCCAACCCCAAATTCGAACCGAACTAGATGTCAAGACCGGCGCTGGAGACGCATAGACTGAAAAACAGCAGTAATTTATAATGTGCAGTTAAGAAAGCGCCAATCAGCACACATTCTCATCTCAATCAAAGGATATTTAAATCAATCCTCTTCCTCATGCACCCTAATACCGGATGTTCAGCCAAGGTGGGGAGCCACAAATGCTGTCCCGTTGAACAGCAGACACGACACCCCAACAGGCCACGTGATACCCGACAAGTGTCGCGCCCGATCAATTTCCACGCATGTAAACGGAGAAAAAATGCAATCACGTAGGCGTGAGACATGCTCACCGATATTGTACATCGCATTCCTCAACCCTGTCGTCCTTCCAACGGTTCATTTCACCTTCATCACATCCCTCTCCCTTCGTTATATCTTTGGGTTGGTCTGCTCTTCATTCTTCAACTCTTCTACCTCCACTATTTTAATAACGTCCATGGGTCAAAGCGGAGGGAATAGGTAGAATGCATAAGAAGTGGGGACAAGTTATTCAATCTTCTTCTGCCTTTCCTGCTTCATGTTTTTTTTTATTTTTTTTTCTAGCCTGTCTTAATCATTTGTATGTTTTATCTTGAACATCGTATAAGCTGATAGCATTATCAATTGAGTATGTGGAGAGGAAGCTGTGTACCCACACCAAGCACGTCGGCTGAATGTTCATTTACATTTCTCTCCACTCCAACTAATTCTCCTGTTCAGCCTTACAGCTGATGCGCGGGCAGAGAGGCGGATGAACGAATAATTGAATAGATGGAGAAGTGGAAGATGGGGAGAATGAAGAAAGCAGTGCCACATCACCAAAAAGTTCTGAAGCAACCCACACACTGTGCACAGGCACCAGGGCTTGGTATCTTTCAATACTCCCCTTTCACCTCTTCCCTTCTTTTCGCCATATATTCTTCCCCTTTTTTTCTCCTTTCCTCCCATTTCATCTCTTTCCTGCTCATCCTCCTACTGCCTCGTTCCTTCCAGAGCCTCCACCACATCAATCGAGTAACCCTCACTCATCCCTTAGTGAAGGGCATCAATTCGCGCACGGACAGAATAAAAGAAATTCATCATAAGCTTGCGTTTGGGAACCCTGTAGAATTCTTTAAGGGTGAGTCGTTGATTCCTCATCTGCATTCATACCTTGATTACGGCTTTACGTTCAACTTTGTGCCTCTTTACAAAGCATTTTACTACTACGCATTTGCCGAGGGTAGCAACGGCAGGAGACTGACTGGAACCCAAAAAGTTGTTCGCTATCATTCTCCCGTTTTAAAAATAAGACAGTAATCTAGAGTAGACTAAACTATACGAGGCCATCTGTCCTACTTCATAGCTGCTTCCATAGTCCATCATTCAAGCACCAATCATTTGTCACCCGAAAACGCGCCGTTTCCGGAAGACCTCAATGCCGCATTCTAGCACCACCATTTATTGCACCATCGACCATTTTCCACTTACTTTGACTCCTTTCAACACGTCGTTTGGACCTGGTGGATGTAACTTCGGCTTGGCTACCTTCGAAACCTGATTTAACTTACTCTCAAGACTCCAACAGGCACCCGTAAAACGTAATATAGACCATTTTGAAAAGGTGCGGTAACAGAAACATGCATCCGGTCTGATGCTGACCTGTGCATGCAACTGCTTATTGGCATGCCTTACCAAAACTTCACAGTCCCCCTTACCTTGCCCTCCTTCAATTTCCCCACATTTCTAACCCACATTAGATAAAGTGGAGGCTGAACTTGTTGTACGCTATCCGAGGCGGTCTGCTCTGCGAAACGAGTTTGACTCGACTTTAAATCTGCAGGAGCACTTACTCAAGTCGGTTGCATATCACTGGATGGAAGTGTGGTAGCAGAATGTACCGCCCAGAAATGGACCAGAGCTGTGATTGTGGTGATGAATCACTCAATGATCAGCATGTCACTTTGGGGAAGATCCTCTATCCTTGAGCGAATTGGCAAACCACGTGACACTGCTAACATCAACTTGGAACTGGCGTGTCAAGCAAAAATCTCAACAAAATTTTTTATTAGGGTGATAAACAACTCGCACACCCCTACGTCAAGCTGGGAAGGAAATTTCGTGGAGGCCACTAAGCGAACGGGTTTCACGTGTCATTTACTGACAGATGACAGCACGCATTGAAACAACTTTTACTCTGGTATGGCATAGGCAAAAGCGCCGCACTCAAAGTATCATCTCTTCCTGGCATTAACACTGGTCAATCACATGTCAATTAGCCACGCCTGGCAGATAGACATGCCCGCGATAGACAGAAAGGAAACGAAGGTGAGATAGGAACGGATGCGCCTACGACTAGAGCCAGGCTATTCGCCTCTCGTGTCATCACGTGCTACAAAATGGATTCTACAATGTTGACTTGTTAAAAAATGGTCGCATGCAGCAATTGTGACTACTTCCACAGTCCAAGATTACAACTGTCGCCATTGCAATAAGGATGATTCAAGACACATTTCTTTCCACTTTTCTAGGACAGCTCAGATACCATAGTCCCGAAATAGTAACGTCAATACTGAACCCCTATTCAGATATAAATTTAGATCGGTATATGGTTCCCTTTAGGATGGGTTAACGAATTTAGAGAGATGGACCTGGAGGAAAGAAGAAAGTATGGCAAGAATAGATGAATAGACTGGCAATGGTGGGATTCAGCACAAACGAGTGGGAGAAGTGGAGTGAGCTGATTGATGGGTAAATGGGTCCGGATGGATGAGTAGATGGGTCGAGGCATCTGCGTTTTTTTACTACAGATACATTTATTTTGTCTACTTTGAGCCTATACCATGCCTCCCAAAAGGATCCACAACTAGTTTATGATTAGGATATTTGGGTAATCTCCCAGAAGGAAACGCTTCAAACCGCTGCATCCTTTACCGATCCCCTAATTAGTGGTTCCATGTGGCTGCACTACTGGCTTCACGTTTCGCCTTCAAAATAGTACCACGCCAAGTCTTTTTTGAAACTCGTCGCCGAGAAGCGAGGCAATTTTGAATTTACCAACAGGTTCAAATAATCACAGTGAAGAGACATTGACACTCACAAGTCCGTCATCTCCAGTCCAGGTTTGCTCACGTCATCCAAGTTCGCACGGTACTCCTGAATCTTCCTCAGAAGTGGTTTTAGCCCTTTCATTCAGATGACGACAGTGGTCATTTTGCACCTGACGCCCGTATTAGCGAATAGTTACTTTAAATTTCCGTCTCCAGCAGAAGTGACTGTAAATTCTGAGGTTTTCAACTTCACCAACAGCCGAGCAATCTCGACCAGTCCACGACTCCACGCAATACAGCGTTGAGCATTCACCTGATTGGTCAAATTCAAGGCCAAGTCTATCTTGAGAAAACTTGGAGTATTTTAGCCGTCCAACAACCAACGCAATGACATAACCCTAGTCCTGAGTTTACATCCACCAATTCTGGACTACTATTGGGATAATAGATGAATGACTGTTCTTGTTTTGCTATCTACTCTGTGATCAATAACTTCCAATAACTAGGTCCACATTTCCAACAGTTCAAACTTTTGGCCACCAAGCATAAGGAGGCATAGGGGGCATCGTTTGCCTTCCTGTCTAACTGTCACTGCCTCTCCTATGGGGAGGAGTCAACAATGCTTTCTTGATAAAAGAGGAAAAAAAAACAAAGCGGTTTTGGGACAGTTGGCAAGTTTCCACGGTTAAGCCAGCAAAGACGTCGAATTTAAGTTAAACTTTTGGGATATGCGGTAGAGCCAGGCACCTTGACGGGTTAAGGTAGAGTCATCATAGTCAACAAATGCTTTTACGCATCTTAATTTAATCCAAAAACCGACATCATTTAATTGATGTCTTTTGCTTGTGAAAGTATCTGTAGTGAATTGTTGGTTGTCAAAAGAGGAATATACCTAAGGCACGAATGTCCTTATGTTCTCCAAATGGAAAACAGATAACTCAACACTACATAAAGCCTTGTAATTGCTTTTATGAAAGAGTTCACAATAGCTAGGAGTAACAATAAATTGGAAGAAGAGGTGTAAAAGAACACAATCTGCTGTCACTCTTCCACCTGATGCTGACAGCCTGTGTCCTGATTGCCACTTTCAACAATAAATTTCTAAAACAGAAATGGTCAAGTCATGCCTTTTGCAATCTTGCCCTCTAACGACATTCCAAGCACAATTACTTTAATGAACGAAAATTTGGAGAACCAAAAGACACGATTCGATTGTCAAAAGTTAAGCCAACCACTTCTAGGTCGTGCAGGTTGAAGAATCTTATTGAACAGGTAGGTGGTTCCCTCGATCCGGAGCTTAACGGCTGTCTTCAATGCCTGGGTGCAGACAGCTGATATCACCTTGCGATGCAGCATTAACCTCTGACCAAAATTGTAGTACAAATTAACAACGGTACTCTGCGCTCATCTTGGAATAATAATCCCCTTCTGAATTTCATCCTTTTTCTCTACACTCTTAGGGTGATACGCATCTAAACCTCGTAGTACCTGCAGGGCTACAATTCCTAGAACTTCAAAGTTTACGTCATAAGAAAAGTGGCGAATGCAAGAGGCAGCTTAAAATAACGGCTCGGTTTCCAAAATCTTCCACATGCCTTCCAAGATAAGTGTTTTATAGCTGCCATTTTAAGGTAAATCAAAATCACCTGTTGATGCGAGTGCTTATGTTCGTTGTTGCCATTGGGGGAGAAATCGTCGGCAGCAACATCGGCGGAGGCGACGTGGACATCTGTTGACGGGTAGGCGGAGTCGGTAGGATTGTGTGGTGGCGTCCTCGGTGCTGATATAGCCACGAATTCAGCGCTCGAAGAATCTGTTTTTAGGCACGAATGAGGAAGTGGATCTCTCATTTATTCATCCATTTGAAATATACATAAATTGACGAGTGGTGATTTAAAATTTACTTCAGCGGAAGATTAGTAAACTTTGATGAAGTGTTAGGTTTCCGGTTTTTACATGTCGTATTAGGTTTAAGCCGATATTGCGCTGAAATTTCACGCAGAATTTTTGCTCGTGGGAGGATGGACTAAAGCCAGGGGTTCAGAAACACGCTTTAAATAACCATTCTGGGAAGATGCTTGCCAACTCAAAGATAAGTAAAAATTCGTATACGAGTTGTGTGGCACAAACAGTGGAAGGAGCTCGCAAAACCGCTTGGCAGGAATGCTTAAGGAATTTTTGACGTAGTGATTTGAGACAATTTAAAGCCGAGAGACCAAAACCGAGTTGAATGATGTGGTAGAAGTGGATACCTCCACCGAAAGCTACCCGAAAATTCGCCTCTGTGTGTCAATGTGGCTACCATTCAAAGTGCTGGTTCAATGGAACCAGTTCCTCCAGGTCAAAAGACAGATTGGTTCTGACTTATGAATTGCATGAGTGAGAACCGAAAGAGGGATTGCTGTCTCAATGCTTGGTGTTAATCACTTAATTGACCTAATGACATGCAATGTATTTATGAGACAAAAACTATTTTTTTCCCTCATTCGCCAGATGGATTGGCTGAAATAAAATCCAAGATCCAAGCCTGGTAGTACCATCGACTGCCTTTCCATTAAGGTGACACAAATACATCCTCGGCACTTTAAACTTAAACCTCAATCCCACGCACTGCCGCTCGAAAAATCGTATAATGTCAGCAAGACAAAAGTAAGCATGCTCTAATATTTACTTCTAATGATGGAGTAAATCACATCGTAAATTAATTCTTGAGTATTTTAATGACCTACCAAGCTTTTCCAAGATGTTATAGCAGAAGATAAACGTTGCCAGCTGATCCCAGCCCTCTTGCAGCAGTTGAAAGTCCAGCATTCTCGACGGCCGCGCTTCTGATTTCAGTACCCCCATCTCCTGCCGTTTTAAGAGCCCCTCCTCAGTAGTCTCCTGAACAGCAAACACAGGACTGGCCAATTTGTCCACCTCCTTCACAGCCATTGCCTCCATCGAATTGACAGAATTTTGAGACTTTTTCGAAGTCGACGGCTGTGGTGAAGAGATATAGCCCGTATCACAGCAGGCGCTGTCTGACTTGCGTAGAAGTAGACTGCTAAATGACACCTTCTTGGACAATTTTACTGTACTGGGTGTCCGTGTGAGCAAGGAGTTTTGAGTCTTCAGTAAACGCCTCAACGGAGTTATGCTTGTCGGCACCATGAAGATAGGGGGATCAACACGTCTCGTGGACTCACAAACATCATCAAGGGAGGTGTGGAGTTGCATCTCTTTGGGAGTTTTGAAGCTATCAGGAGATTGCTTAGGTTGCACACTTCCCACTACCTTTTCAGGGGATCTAATGGTGGTAGAGTTATATGCATTCGGCTCAGGCAAATTGGTCGGTTTGAGGCACGTAGTGTGGTCGTAGGACTCGTCCATATCTACGGGGAAAATGGGTGAGATGGTGTAGTCCAGCTGACGGTAGTGAATGAAACCGGAGCGCTCTTCTTCAGTCGCCTCTACGGAGGCGAGAAAGGAACAGAGCTCCTCTTCCACCATCTTATCTGTCTCGGGACTAATCCGATCGTCAGCATCCTGCTCCCATTTGGCCTTCTTTGGTGCGACTTCGGAGGGTGTTTGAATGAGAGAAGATGGAGGCAAGGATGGAGGATCACCGGCAAATGGTGTTTCAGGAGGCATCTGAGTGTGTGGAGTGCTGATCGCGGAGATATTAAGAGCTGGAGTAGATGGAAGGTTGGCGGTATTCGGAATGGGACTGATGTCTGCTAACTGCTTACCCGACTTGCCTTCTGGTACCTCGATTAGACAAATTAGAACGGTTTGTATTCATTACATCATTTAGTATAAAATTCCTGACACCTAGCAAAGCAGGATATTCTGACTGTCCTTTAATCTTACTAAGCTTCCAAATTTTATTTTACATCTGTCCACATATGACATATCAAGTAAGAGGGGATCCATGCGCTTTCATATAAGAGCCTCGCCATGGGACTGATAAAGCAAAACATTCGGCTATCATCGGGTCTGTTGCCCATAGAAAGCAGTTCTGACAGGCAACCTGAACATCGACTGCAGGTGAGTCAGTTGAGAGGTAGATCAAACCAATGAATGAAGTGGACAGGGCGGATAAGTTGTAGTAAAAAGGTCAGGTTTATTCATCTCCTACCATCTGTAGTACAGTAATCAGATTAAGCCAACTGCAATTTAATCTGACTCAAGCAAGATTTTATGACTACTTACCACCGGTAATGCGGATTGAACCATTTTACGATGTAATTTCCCTTCTCAAACGATCAGCTCAAAATAGCTACCATTAAAGTAAAAAGAATCCCACGTTAAATGCGGCCAACGCTTTTTTTGTGCGGCAACAAAAGGAACCAAACCTCCGATCCCTAATCGGGAGTCTACCTGTTCAGAGTGCGATTTGGTCGTCTTGAAAAAGGTACGAATATTTGCCTGCTTTAGGCTGCTGCACACTCCTTTTGGTGTTGAGAACAATGGCGCAGACGGTTTCGCCTGTTTTGATCTGCAAGTTTTTGGACTACAAGAAAAAGGTTGGCTTTTTGGCAAGGTTTTTTTCATTTTTAGGACCAGTCATCCGAAACTACTCACGTTTCCTTTTTACGCTCCTTCTTCAAATTCACCGAAGCTGGAGAGCTTGGAATGTAGGGACTAACAGTTACTGGAAGAGCCTGGCTTATATTGGCAAGAGTAGTAGTAAGTCCTCGATCCGTGCCTCCGGTGCAGGGCTCGAGCCAGGGAATGGGAAAATTGATATTCAAGTCGATGCCCACTTAAACAAATCAGAAGCAGAGAGTGAAGGGAGGTGATTGAGGAATCGAGAGGGGTGCATTTTGAGGACTTACAAAAGTTGAAGCTAATTAGACTGGTGAAGAGGAGCCTAACCTCTGACTCGTGGTGAACCACAACGCGATGCGACCACTGACCCGATGACTCAATCAACGTTGTTCTATACTCGTGTAAAAGAATTCTTAGTTAATTTTTATAAAAAAAACACCGATGCATAAGTGTCAAGTATGAGGTTGTTTCCAAAGGTAATGAGCATCACCAAATTTAAGGGACTGACAGCTTGGGTGGGAGTGAGGAAAACTTACGAAAGCACAGTCTTGAAGATGACGCGATTTTTGTCGTCTCCAACTATGAGAGCGACCTGATCAAACTTGCAGGCTCGTATAAGACGAACTGTGAACTCAAACTCCACGTAGTCAGGGGCAGCTGTGGCTACCTTGAAAATAAAATAAGGTGAAACCTTTCTAATCAAGTATGATTACGGTTGGATGGTGGCCTGCCTGAAGACAGAAATTAACACACTTAAAATACTTTTCTAAATAATAATTTACCAATTTTTAGGTGAAATTGGCAATAAGGACCTATTTACTTAATGCATTTGTTACCGATGTCACATGCAACCTCTCGATTATATTAGATGAGTCTAATGTCACAAATATGCAATTGAATTGGATTTGAAACTACAACACATATGGGTGAAGTTCCTGCCCTAAAAATGATCTGATTCTTTTTATATTTTGAGTAATAACTGAATTCTGGTCAGGTAATGTGTGTACCAGACGAAAAAAAGGCATAGTCCATGATGGTTGTCTTTCCCAGAGACTTGGATAGTTAACAGGGATATGTTTTAATGCACGACCACTACCCCATTTAAAACCAGTTTTGTCTTAGTTATCGGTGATACATAACGGCTCAGGGCAAATTGACAGACCTGTTCAGCAGCGAGCTCATATTTGGGGACGCCAACAGCACTCTCGTAGACTCTATCACCAAAAGGCGGTTTTCGATTAAGGATCTGCAGGAATGAAACATCCAGTCAAAAGGTACTAGTTACAAAGCACAAACTGTAGATGTTGCACGGCAAATACAGTGTTAGGTGTAAAGTAAGCAAAACAGGAGCAATAACGCCTCTTCAACCGATTGTGAGATGTAAAGCGACTAACTCAGCATTTAGTCATCATACTGTAGCAAAACATCAGGCAGCCCTATTTTGTACATCGTGACAGATTTGTCTGATGAGGTTGATCTTCCCCTTGGCCAATCAAAAAGGATTCCCTTTAATCGTAGCCTACCGCATTCGAGTTTCTCTGTAACCCATCCCCCTCCCTAAGCCAATTTTTCAATCTTCAATCGAGTGTATTTTAACCAAATCCAGAGGAGCCACTCTTTCATCTACTTTTTTACTCGTCATACAATCACATTTGAGCAGTCGAAACAGGGAACCCTACTTTGACAAGAGAGTAAAGAAGATTAATTGCTTGCATGCACCCACCCGTTCCAGCATTCTTGGTCCAAGTCTCTCGATATCTTTGAGTGAGACCACTCCAGCTTCAGCCAGTTGATTGGCGTATTCCTTGCCCACATCGGGCAGTTGACGCAGCGAGGCGAGAGGGGCATCGGCCCAGACACGATAACTGACCACCTTGGCTAGTTCAATCACATGGGCCATGCAGGCGAAGCCCATGGTTGCTGGCGGAGGAGGATTGTCCGCGTCCAATGTCCCGGCATCCCAGCTTCCACTTGAAGTGGTTGCCCAGAGGAGGTTGCGGAGGCCTGAATGAGTTGGGTAAGGTGTGCGTCAGACAGCTGGGTATTTTATCGACTCACCTGCAGCACAGCGAGTAAATACTTTGAGAGCTTTGCTGCTTTCCTGATGAAGACCCGCTTCGAGCACAACGAAATCATTCAACTCAGCTTGAAGCAGCGTGACCACTTTCATTTGTGGTGTGGTGATTCGACCTTTTGTTGGGTATCTAAGGCAGTTATGAATGAATACGTTTAACCTTTCCCCTGAGGTACAGTGTACCAATAGAGAGGGAAATCTTTCGTATATTTTCAACGTGTAACTTGATTTGATATCCAATCATCCAGCATTCTAGCATGTTTGTAGTACTCATTATAAGAATATTTGTAGATCTCTATAACAAAATATTTTGTGGCCTAATCGGACTTCGAAACATCTAGTGAATAGAGGAGTTGGTTTGTTGTAG